AGTCACAAAGGAACAATGATTATTCGGCTGAGATGAGTGACGTGAGCAGGCTACTCTTGTGGAATTATTTATTTTCCATATTTGTTCGCTAAAAGAAGTAAATAATAAGAAGATTTGGTGGCAGCGTCAAACAGAACTTTTGTGAAGACACTAAATATACAATTCAAAAAATGAGCTGTCTAAATAGTGACGAATTCCGAAAGTAATCCAAGCTAGTTCTTTTATTTCAACGAATGGTCCACTATGTTCACGGCACTCTACACCAGGTAACATCTTATATTCATTAATCTTGGTCGTATATATTAGATCAAGGAATCTGAAGCATTTACACCAATGGTCTCATTTGGCTGTGTTAACATTTCGTCATCCGGTTCCGGCATCTCCGTATGTTGGTCTTGTTCGTGGCACGTACTCTGTCTATAATTCACTGTTGGCGGTTGAATGCCAGAGTTAGTAGGAATATCTAACGAAAGCACGTATGAGATCTCTGATTATTATTATTGTTTGTAAGGCTGCTATCGATATCGTGCAACTATGGTTGTTGATTGGGGTCCTGAACTAGTTGATGCTAGACCACCATTGAAAACCTGGAAGCACTGGACGGGCGTTTCATCCTATCGTGGGACTCTTCAGAAGTGTGAATCCACAATTCTGTCCGCGGAATCCCACAAAAGATGGAAACGGCCGCCCAGCGCTTTTAGGTTTCCAGTGGTGGTCTAACATCAATCAGTTCATGATCTCAATCCAAAACTTAATAATATCCACAACCCTTTGATTGTACCAATGAATGGACTTGTTCTAATTATCAAGTAAACGGATCCTTGTGTAATTGTCTGTCCACTAGCTCTTTTTCGGCGGTTGAGGGTAGTTAGTAGTATTGTATTTTATTCTCTCCGAGGACGTAGATACTCCTACCTCGACAAATATCATAGAAACGCCACCTGCAAACACACTTTTGACATAAGATATATTTTATAGCCTTTTTTGAGACAGCAATATGTTACACAGACAAGATCAAGTTGTTTGAAATACTACAGGCTTTACTTTATTAGGTTACCCAATTGGGCTGATATGTCATAAGGCACATAGTTTATATAAGCAGAGGGTAAATTTTCATACATTAGAATATACATTTTATTTATACTCTGATGTTTAATATGAGTTGATGTGCATTGTGGGGTTTGCGTTGCGACAAGCCGAATTAAAATCCAAAACAGTCATTCAAAGACATCAACGTTAACGCATTATTCTGTACTTCCTGATAGTGATCCCAGATAAAATCCGGGGGTAATGATCGTGGTACCAGATGAAGTCATGTTCCATATATCATTTGGCGTCATGCCATGAGGGTGCTATAAAAGAGAAGGGAAAAGAAAGGGAGAGAAACAGAACGGATAGTAATCATGACTAATGAAGTTTGTTTATTCGTAAAAAAATAATTAAGGTATGACTATTTGGACTCGTTCTTTTCTATGAGGTCAGCTCTAAGTAAGTACATTTCAACACGTTAAAGAAAATAAGACTAAGTATGGCATTAAATGAGAAAAGGATTGTAAAAATGAAAGTAATTTAGAAGAGCTGAACGTCTAGGTTCATGTGCAGTTTTAAAATTTAATGAGAAAAATACAATATTGAAATACACAAATGGATCTTTTTTCATCAAGGCTATTACTGCTCTTTTAATTATTATAGGCTTTTTAGGAACTTCATTTTGGCGCAATTGTCCAGTCTTGCTCGTAATAGGATTTTTCGATAGGAAGTAAAACCAGTTCAACGCTACAAACATGAGTAGTGAGACTATTATCTATGGACGAACTTCGAGCAACGCTAGTGACCCTAAGAGCGTCCACCTAAAAACTAGGACCAAATGAGGGTTATAAACCGACGTAAGAAATCAGAATTATGATTTGCAGTTGGCGTTAACGTAAGAAATTAGATTTTTGTTTATCATCACGATCTGACATCAGACATAATAACAAAACTCTACTTCACCGAACGGATAAGTAAATTTAGTGCCAAGATCTGATACCCACCATCTTATATCTGATTGCTTAGTTCGTAAGTTATTGTCTCATCAGAGACCTAATTTGACCAAATATGCAGTCCTACAGATATGGGTAGTTTGAAATTATCTCCCCACGACTATGTTTACTCATAAGTAATGCCTGACTCTTTCATTCCGTGATGTTAGGCTCTCTTCCGTGTGTGGTATGGATGAATATTGTTTCAATTTAACCTCTTCATTACACATCTTATTGGAATTCACTGTCTCTATTAGTTCCAATTTGTAAGCAAATCAGACAGCTAAAGCTCTTGTGTTGGGGGTTAGACATCCAGTTAGTATATCATGCTGCTATGGAGTTACCTGACGATATAAGTTATAAGACACTGATCAGATTATATGTGGTTTAGTGATGATGAGAACAGAAGGCTGATCAGAGAATATGAAAGGATAGTCTAGGGTTGCAAAATTTATGAGTAAGTCCATAATTAAGTAGGAAAACAATATTTGAATACTGGTAATAATAAAAAGTATTTAAAGACTAGCAGAATATGAACTAGAGGGAACTTGAGATAGATTAAGGTAATTTGAGCTTCTTATGATCGGTCATAGTTGAACAGCACTTATAGAGTTAGTCAGTTATCTGTCCACGAACTGAACAGGTACTTCCATAATGTATGGTAGTTATAGCACCCAACTGCAATTTAAGCAATTATATGTTAGATTTTAGGCATGATTATTCATAATGTGTTTTAAAGGTACAAGGTTGTGGTTCTGTCAGATACTTGAAATAAATACATTATTGTGTGCATATGAACATATGCTTTTTGGACTTGTCGTCAAGCGACAAAAATGATGCACATACGTAAATGATCCTGAAAGGACTTATCTTACGTAATTCTATGAGAAAGTATTCCATTCTACTCTTTCTGAACCAGTGTTATGTTTCATAGTTATTCTTATGGACACTTTCTGAGTGTTTCTTATTTTTCACCCGTGTAGTCTCTAATTGCTTTATCGGGTCGCAGTCTAATATATTTTTAAGGTCCAGTGTGCGCAGCACCATCGATGGTTATGCAACAGGCTATAGAGATCGAAAACTCAGGAGAAGGGTTTGTTTGGCAGTTATGAAAAAGGGATGCGAAGTACGCAACAAAAAAAGAATAAAGCACGATGTTAGGACTGCGATGTGTAGAATGTGTAGTAGAGACTCTATTTGAGAGGGAGATACTTGCTGTTAGTTATATGGTCACAAAGTACCAATTGGTCACGTATTCACAGGGCCAGATGTTTTATGGCTCATCGTTAAACATAGAGTGGCTTAGGTAAGCTCCATCGAACATGTGAAAAACCCCAGTTGGTTCATAAAAGAGCATAGAGAATATTCAAATTGGGTAGGCGTTTGACTTAGTCAGATTTTTACTGTTGACCTTGTAGTGACCTACTTTTATCAAGAGAACGCGATTGATTTAATTGAAACAATTATTATTATGATCAATTGTACCAGTGATTGCTTTGCTGTGCTCGTTTGTTTAACTGTGCTAAAGACAGCCATATTCCTCCTCCATTACTCTCCATTACTTTTCCGCGGACTGTGACCTCGTATGTTCGTACTCTTACCCGCTGATTCCACTTGTACCCTTTTGGTGCGATCTCTACATCCTTTCGATACAACGAATAAACCTGGTTATGTTCAACCTTCTCCTCCTGATTAATTTGGTACGCGTTTCCTTGTAGTGGTGCTCATAGTCAACCTCGACTCGACACCACGCTTCAACCTATTCCAGAGACTGTAATAGAGTGTGACTAATAAAGTTGACTTCATGTTTCTTACTCTTCTCGATATACTTAGTACAAAATCCTGATTACGAAGGTCGTAGTTACTATTTTTGACATTTTAAATTGTCACAATTCTCTGTTGTTTTATTGCATAGAATTTTGAAACGTAAGGTAGGATCAATCTTGATTCGTCTCAACCATAAAAGACCCAGTTTCCGTCTTCACATCTACTTTTGTATGGTAGAGCTAGCGTGAGAAGTCTTGTAAAATGACAGTGCATTTTCTCGATATTTTGTCGGTCTATGGAACTCATGAAATTAAATAGAATTGTGCAATATTCCAGTAGGGGCAGAACACATACTTAAAAGGGATTTATTTTGGATTCCTTTAAATGGAAATTACGCTTAATAAACTAAGTATATTGAAGATGGCACAGGTATTCAGTGTTTGATAACGCTCTTACCAGCAACACCTTCTAATATAATTTGTTCTCACTGAGAGAAATCAAAAGACAGAGTCGCGGAGGTCGGAAGAGTGTATTTGGCGATAACCAAGATATCGGAATTCTCTGATCTAATCTGGCTAGCAATTGTGGTAGATGTTGAGCACAGCGTTACCACACGTGATCTGGTGCGGGTGCATGACCGAGCGCCTTCAGCTGGGTGAGTCCATTAAAACTAATATGGTCAGTATCCAATGTCGAAGACTTACAGAGCTATTGATTTTGGGGATCTATTTACCGCTATAAGTTCCCTTTCATCCATATAGTTTATTACATAATCATAGTATTCTAGTTGCCTTCCTAATAATCTGCTCCCTAGTTTTACACAAGATGGGAGTGTGGTTAATCGGGCGAGAGTTTTCTGCGTCTAGTCTGGATACCTTTTTAAAGTAAGGGATAACGTATGTAGTTTTCCATTACCAAGGGAAAATGCCTAGACCAAAGGTCAGAATAAATACTTTAGTAAGCAGAAAAGGAGTGTTAGGACATCCACATTAAAATAACTATGGAGGGTTTTTTTTTCATAAAAAACCAAGACCAAATAATATACTACTGGATATTCTTTTTACACACCTAACCATAAACCACTGATAATGTCTACCAAAAGGCCAAAAAGTTATATTTTAATATTATTCGGGAAAGGCCAGTTATGTACATCGATGTAAACAGTATCAAACACTGTGAGCTATTTGTTCTTTTATCTCTGGCATTGAGATCGTGAGTGAAGGTTGCGGTGCTTTTAAATGGCAGTGCTACTGCACCAACAAATGTAATTATTAAGTTTAACATAAAACTAACATGTCAGATCCAGGTCATAGCGTCAATGTGATTTTTGGTGAGAGATTTATAATTTTATTTATTCCGATTAGGGGGTCAAAAGTATTTGGTCCCTTTACCATTGAATAGCGATGCAACATTACTGGACTTAATGAAGTCAATAGACTCTATTTTACACATTCCATTTGATAAACAAAGAATAATATACAAAGGTACACTACAACCATAAACACTTGATATATTATAGGAAGATCGCTTACTGATCCTGATGCATTAATTTCTTCATCCGGTCTCACTCCTGGGTCTAGAGTTATGATTCTTGGTTCAGTAAGTCACTACAAATAGTTTAATTAGTCTGTTCCGCCAAAGGTTGATAAACTTAATCCAGATGAGGCCGTAAAACTTGTCAAGGCAAAAGACACATCTGATGCAGTCGATTTACAACTAAAAGACCTCTCAAACAAGCTAGATACTATTGTAAGTTCAACTCAAAAGATTTACAAATCATGTTTATTTGATCCTGAGTATTTACCTGAGTGATTTTTAAAGGCATTGTGTTCACCCCTTAAAGTCACTTTCTAGAATACAATAGTTTAGTCGGTTAACTGTTATTATTTCTATGTTTGAAGATAATTTCGGTGTTTGTATTCCGTGTTGTGTACTACTGTTCATCACGACTTCTCACCCAGTTGCACCGATAGTTAACCGGTACTATTTTCAGCTCGTAATTATCGTTGGAATATGTTCGCTTATGCTTACAGAATAAACCATTATCATTTTCTAGGGATTATGTCAGCAACATTTGAACCTTAAGTATGAGAACAAATTGAGGGGGAATAATCTATTTACAAAATGGGATTGTTGGTTTATTTAAAAACTGAAAAATTCGATTAGGTAAATTACCCTTTTAATACCCACTTTTTCGACCTTGTCGAACTCTGGTTCATAATCCTTATTTGGTTCATCTTCGAATTTCCAATTGGTAAAACTAACTTTCATTCCATACAAGCCTGTGTTACATCAACTTATTTGCGAGCTTACATATTGCTTGGGGAATTATGATTGGGAACTATAGTTCTCAATCATGCGAACCTATAGGCTCTTATTCTGAAGTCCATTTCTCGTAAACTGTTCGTGGCGAACATCTGATATGAGCCTGAAGTCAAATTCGCGCAGACAGAATTTCATCCTACAAAGTAAAGCAAATTGATCAACATTTGAAGATTCTAAAGCATCTACGCCTGTGCATTGCAGAGGCTTGCCTACTTTGACGTTTTTTTTATCCATCCTTCTGATGATAGTTTTTATTCAATACTATAAATGTAGTGAAACATGAAATTCTCGACAGTTCAGTTTTTCACCAAAATCTATAAATATATCTTTGGGAAATTTTGAAACTACATTGCCGCGATATCGACACCAAAGTGAGTCATATATATATATATATATATATATATATATATATATATATATATATATATATATATATATATATATATATTCCGATAAATGAACTACAATGTTAACCTCATCAAACTGATATACTAATTTCGATAATGTAATCAGAAGACGAAGATTATCAGAACCATGTGATATATTAGCGCAATACATTTCGAACAATCTGATCACGCACATACTTGTTAAGAGCATTTATATATAAAAATAAAAGGTCAACTAGACTGGAAATGGGGTAAGAGGAGATAAGGATAATGATAAGAGTAATAATAATAATAGTGTGAACACAATTCGAAACCTAATCACTCTGGATAATAAGTCAATATTACCAGGGTAGGTTTAAGGTAAGAACAAACTGTTTTTTTGGACACACAAAGGGGGTTTGAATTTTCGTATGGCTAAGGCTACAATACACCTCAGTATACGCTCTTTTACACTTTTATTCAATACCACAGAAGCTGAGCTTAGATCAATTTTGTGACTTGTTTCAATTATGTGTTTAGCAATAGAGGATGATGGATGTTTATCCTCTGCTCTAATTGGGTCACCTGATTGTATTTGTTGTATTTATATGTGTGATCAGATTGTTCGAAATGTATTGCGCTAATATATACAATCTTCGTCTTCTAATTATATTATCGAAATTTATAAAAGTGACTAGTTGGTATACTAGTGTCTGAATGATTTTTGCTTACTTCTGTTACCTTTCATGAAGAAGCATAGGCTGATCATCAGCATTCTCCACCAAACTATGTCCTGGGCAGTTGTTTCCAGTTGCTATTGATCCTTTTCATGTCTGCTTCCGATTCTCAGCTCAGTGTTCATTGGCCTTCCTCTTTTTCTCGTTTCCCTTCAGGATTCCAGGTTAGCGCTTGCTTCGTATTGCAGTTTGATGATTTCCTCAATATGTATCCTATCCACTTCCATCGTCTTTCCTTAATTTCTTCCTCAGCCAGAAGTTGGTTTGTTCTCTCCCACAATATGTTGTTGCTGATGATATCCGGTCAACAGGCATTCAGTATCTTATGTAGATAGTTGTTTATGAATACCTGTACATTTTTTATGATGATTGTGTTAGTTCTTGAAGTTTCGACTCCATACAGTAGAACCGTCTTGACGTTCGTATTGAAGATTCTGACTTTAATATTGGTTAGCAGTTGTTTTGAGTTCCATATGTTCTTCAACTGTAGGAGTGCTGTCCTTACTTTGCCAATCTTTGCCTTTACGTCTGCATCAGATCCTCCACGTTCATCGATGATGCTACCCAGATAGGTGAAATTCTACACCTCTTCCATAGTTTCTCCATCAAGTGTGATTGGGTTGGTTGGTGTTCTCTGTTGTATTTGAGAATCTTGCTTTTTCTCTTGTGTATGTTGAGGCCTACTGATGCAGAGGCTTCTGATACACTGGTTGTCTTCATCTGCATTCGTTACTGTGTATGGAATAGAAGGACTCGGTCATCTGTAAATTACAAATCTAATTGATTCCGAGCTGTCCATTATATTCCATGCTTCCTCTTAGATATCGAGGTCTTCATAATCCGGTCAACCATCAGAAAAAAAGAAAGGGGGAGAGTAAGCAACCTTGTCTGATACTGGTCCTCACTTAGAATGTATCTGTCAGCTGTCCATGCACGATACTGCAGTGTAGTTCGTCGTATGGATTCCTTATAATATTGACGATATCAGCTATTCACACTATAGTGCCGAAGAAGTTTCCATGATCTATCCATATTGTCAAATGCTTTTTCATAATCGATGAAGTTGATGTATAGTGACGAGTTCCATGCAATTGATTGTTCGGCGGTGATTCGTAGTGTGGCGATTTGATCTGTGCACAACCGATCCTTACGGAGTCCGTCCTGTTGACCTCAAATTCGGGCGTCTACTGCGTCTTCCATCCGGTTCAGCAACACTCTGTTGAGGTCTTTTCCTGGTACTAACAATAGTGTGATGCCTCTGTAGTTCTCACATTTGTTCAGATCTTCTTTCTTTGGTATCTTGCTGAGGTGTTCTTCTTTGCAAACCTTCCTGAATAGGACGTGGAGCATCTTTGCAGTTAGTTCGGTCTGACTTCAGTGCTTCAGCTGGTATATTGTCAGGTCCTGCTGCTTTCCCACTCTTGATTTATCTGATGGTCATCCTGATTTCTTCGATCGTTGGTGAAGCAACGTCTATAAGAAGATCTGTGTGTGCTGCTTCGATGTCCGGTGGATTCAATGGAGCTAGTCTATTCAAGAGTTCCTTAAAGTACTCTACCCATCTGTTCCGCTGTTCTCGAATTTCAGTGATTGATCTGTCTTCTTGGTCTTTGACCGGTCTCTCTGGTTTACTATATCTCCCTGCTAAATTCTTCGTTGTATTTTAAAACTGTTTCATATTTCCTTCTCTTGCAGCTTTTTCCGCTGGCATTGCCAGGACTTCCACGTATTTATGCTTGTCGACTCTAATGCTTTCCTTCGCTTACTTATTTGCTTCTGTGTATTCAGCTTGTGCCTTGAATTTCTCTGCTCTCGTTCGGTTGTTGTTGATTTCTGTCTTTTTGTTCTACCCGTCTTGATTCTTGTCCAGGGTTTTCGATGGAGATCTATTCCTTATGATGATGTTGTTGCGGCACGGAACCTCCTGACACGTTGAAGTTAGGGTTTTTCGATCTTTCTCAAATTTTCCTTCATGGTAGCTTTCTCATCTTCGAGTAGATCTTGTAAGGCCTGGAACCTGTTGTAGAGAGTTATCTTAAATTGGTTGAATTTGTTAGTATCTCATAGGAAGGCTGTATTGGACCTTTGTACTACTGTTTCTCCAGTTTTCAAGTGTTTCTTTAGCTTCAGTTTCCTCTTGGACACAACCAGGTGGTGATCTGAAGCTATATCAGCTCCTCTTCTGGTTCTCACGTCGTCTGTTGACCTACTGAATGTTTTACTGATGTAAATGTGGTCTATCCAGTTCTCCGTGGTGTGGCCTGGTGAGATCCACGTAGCTTTGTGTATGAGTTTGTGTGGGAATATTGTGCCGTCTATAATCAGTTTGTTGAACACACATAGGTTTGCAAATCTCTTCCCATTTTCTTTCCTTTCTCCTAGTCCACGTTGTCTCATGATATCTTCCTATCCGGTGTTCTTCATTGCAACTTTAACGTTTAGGTCTCCCATTGGGATGGTCAGGTCGATTTCTCATCATTTCGCTATGATTGCAGCCGCTCGTAGAACCGATCTTTATTGTCATCATTGCTGTAATTGGTGGTGTGGCGCATATATATTGGCGCTCTCTTGTACCAATATTTATGTGTTCAAATAAATAAATAAATAATTGGTGGGTGCATAACATTGGATAACATTCATTGTGATACCCTCCTTCTTCGTTTTGAACGATGTCTTGATGATTCTGGATTCATGAGATTTCCATCCTACAAGTGCATTTCGTGCCTCTCCAGAAATCATCAGAGCAACTCCCCGCCTGTGTGGAGCATTTTTTTATTTGTGACTGGAGTACAGCAGTATCTTTCTCGTATCTGACCTTTGCCGTCCATCTTGGGTCCAATGAGTTTCACATATTCCGAGGGCCACCGTGTTGTATCTCCTGATTTCCGTAGCTATTTGCTTGATCTTCACGGTGTCCGACATTTTCGGGACGTTCCATGTACCTATATTAAATGTTGTTCTGGTTGTTAGAAGGGGCTTCGGTCTCTTGACTTCCGAAGAATCTCGGCTCTCATCATGGCGTTCTAGTTCTTCCTTGAACTCGGTGGACAGAGTTTAAATAGTCTGATTTGTTTATTCTGGTTATCGTATTTTGGAAAGTTTTTTTCTACGGTATGTGGTTGCTGACCCCATGTCCAACCCTTCTTTATCCGTGCATGGGACGCATTAGCCATAGACGAGCTAAAGGTGGTGTTAATCTCCGGACATACGAACTGCTTATAGGTTGTTATTTTGGTTAGCTATTTGTATCTTTGTGAATTCTATGTGTCACTATTTGTTTTGTTAAAGATTTCAAGTTATAATCCACACGTATTTTGGGTTTACTTTCTACATTTAGTTATCTCAAAGTAATTCCGATAGTTTAGAGGTAACTGCACACGTAAAGTCTACAATTGACATTATGGAGCAGTGCATGCGTACTCTTGAGCTTTTGGACTCTGTTCGGTTGCCATACAATTGCGAAAGTGAACGCGCTTGTCGTAAGAGGCTAGTAGACACAATACAAGTAGGTTTTAAAGTAACGTTTATCTTTATCGAAGCGGTTTATGTTTAACTTGATACCTTTTTAAACCGTGATTCCAAACAGTAGATGCTTTGTTGTCGTTATGGTCAATGGCACACATGTAGTGGCGTTAACTCAGCTTATGTGAACGTTGCTACTCTTCAAACTTTGAAAAACTTTCGGTTTCTTATGTATGAAAACATTGAGATATCTATTCATATTACCTTTCGTACCAACAAAATGCAGTGCAGACCTAATGTTCACATTAAAACATATTTCAGTAGAAGCACAAGTAAGCATCTTACAAATGAATATTCGAAATTCATATAGCGGCCATATCTTTACAAACATTTTCAAGTATTATGTGTTCGATTATTAGTTTCGATGGTAATTTACTCCGTTGTTATAGACGACCTTAGTCAAATTCACTTCACAGACTCTTGAAGCTAATACTCTCAAATAAATTTTAAGTTCACTCATTGTACTTATGTATATGGACACTACTACCCAAAAGACGAACGAACCTTACTTTCTTTTCTTTTTGTCGAAGGATTTCTCGCGTTAATCCGTTTTCGAAATATAAGCTTTGTAAAGTAATAATCATATGAAATGATAAAAAAATTTGTTAGTGTTCACTTGTTTTTAAAGTATATTAACCAATGTAGTTTTCCCTTTTATCTTTTTATTTCTTGATTCGTTCTTTCGAAATATTTTTCAGGAGTTTCTTGTACAGGCGGACAAGTTGAGAGCTGAATTTTTAAAGCTTATCAAAACATAACACTGGTATTTTCTGTGTTAACACTTCTGTAACATAGTGTGTACTACAGTACTACTTTTGTCAGTAACTTAAAAAATAACATTACAGTTTGTTATACCTGTATTTTTCCTCTTCAATCACAAAAATGACTATAAGCAATCAACAAGGGTAACTGTCATCGAAACAAACGTGACAACTGATCTCAGTAAAAGCGGATAAAAAATGAATGATTTCATTGCATATTTTTCTCCTCTACCCCACCATTGGGTTTTCAGTCATCGCTGTAAGGCAGTAAACCTGTACACGAAAATAAAACAAATTTATTTAAGTTTGGAAGCTAAATTTATACTGAATAATGAATTTACGCTCATCTGAATGTTTACAGTTTATTACGTGATTTCATTGCAGGCATAAGATGTGATGGAACTGAGAAAGAAAATTTAAAAACATTCCATTGCGAGAAATTATCACACGTTAAGCATATGGTATTACTCTTTGGTTAAAGTATAATTGACGGTTATGTTAAAAAAACTTTCATTACCACAGAAAAGATATGTTAAGAATAAGTATTCGAACCACATTCATAGTTATCTTCTCAAGAGTGTTTCATAGACTTGATAAAGTTTCTTAATAAGGTTCCCAATGTCCTATTGTCTAAGTAGCTTGAAGCAACATACACAAAAATAAATGTAGGTAATGTATGGCACGATACAAATGAGTATCGTTCCTTGTTATCAAACTTCAAACTAGTGATCAACAAAATGATGTTGAAGAACGAGCAAATGAAGTGTATTAAGTGGCACCATTTTCAGCACTTAAAAGTAGATAATAAGTGGATCCGTCCTACTGAGATGAATTAATTCTACGATGTTTCACCTTGTCTGCTATCTCTAACATTAGTTATACCGTAGAATTCAACTAGGAAGCTTGCACATTCTTGAACTTTCTATATCAACAACAAATGACTTTGTTGAGTAGTCTGATCATTGGTAACCTTTCTGTGACGCACACAGGATGCTACAGTAAGCCACAACCGGTCATGTATAACATATTGCTCAAACAGTAATCGATAAGCACTTATGGGTTTTAATTTCATCCAATGCTCTGCATATCTGACAACAACATTGATCGCTTTATGGTTCCACTATACGCTAGCAATGCTTCAGAGGCACCTAGAAGTGAACATTTACAACCTATTTGCAAGTGTCTCTAACTTTCAAGTAGATAACTGGTGTCGATAGCGAAGAGGATAATATAATTGGAGAGTGCACAAAAGTTTACTCACTAAATAACTGTGTTGCTAATTGTCACAATTCTAGGCATCCGGCGACTAAGTTACCGTACAGTCTTTTATACATAGAGTATATAGTAGGCTGGAGTTTTCTGTCTGCTTTCGTAATTCGATTACTTCTTTGACCTTGAGTATATGTTCTTGATATTTACAGGGTATCAAATATACAAGAATTTCGTGCACCTCATACTTACCATATCATTTGGGTATATTGGAGTTGTAGGTTCTGGTAATGTGTAAACAAATCTTTCGATTTTTCCACTAGCTTCAAGGTATATGTTTTTACATGACAAGCATTCATCTATATTATTGCTAGCTTCAACACTTCGATAAAGGCCGATTGATATTGTTCCGGTACTTGCCAACTCAGCATGAAATAACTGACTGAAAGTCAGAATTTTCTGTAGAAATAGAAAAAAACATACGTGTGATGTCTTGTATTACATATTTACTGGCAAATTTCTTTGTATTTGGCAGTTCGTACAACATGTCCCAAGAGGCATTAGAATTTTGCCTCTTACGAGGTCAGTACTGAGATCAAAGGTTATATATAGGGATTTAACCCCTCTATTAGTAGTATGAATGGCGCTGTGATTGACTTCCATTCAGTGTATGCCTCTGTACAAAACCATACTTAAGTAAACAGTTTATTATTTCTGTATAATATTATGATAAAATTCAAGTGATCTTCATGATATAATTTACAAACATGGTCGCTGTTCTCGATCGAAATAAGATAGTGGAATTCCATGCGTATTGTTTTCACTATTGGTTCGTCACGTTTAATGGTAATTCTTGAGCCAAAAGATCTTTATTAATAGAATTGGTCTTTACGCCACTTATGTTCTCTGTAGATTAAAAAACAAACACTAGGTTGAGGTTGTTTAGACCTTAAACTAATCATTTTATTGTCTTGTATACTGGAAAAGCTAACTTGTTCCTCCCCTCTTATTGTACAATAAAAATGTATTTACATTTATTACCTGCGAAGCTAGATGATGAAGTTCTTTATCCAATTCCATAAGGGGTATTAAACGAAGTTGGGATAGCCGAACAGCAATCGCTTCACCTGTAAATTAAGTAAGATTATGGAGCTCTTTACATTACAAATAAAGTAAGATTCTTCCAGCAAAATTTAAAATTATCCGTAACTTAGAAAATCGCCTATTATGTAGCTCATATATATCCTTTGTCTATCGGCTAGCAATTTACTCGATAAGTAAATGGACTACTGTATTTACTAGAAAAGCGTTATTATATATTTCAGGAAATTAGTTGTATTTGTTGACTGTAGCAATTTAATCTTTTGATATTGTAAATAGTATTTATACAGAGATTCGTAATTTGTAAGTGCTATTCAGTTCAGTTTATTCAAAATATAGCTACTAATCAATATAAAGATCAGTATATTGAGACAGTTTTTATTTACCTTTGGTGCTTAATAAATCCTCATCTACCATTGTCTTTATCCTTGCATGGAATTATTTTGTTATCATGTTCAATTATAACAGATGGAGAAAGGGGGGTTGTGAAATACCTCCACCATTGATAAAGTATAGTTTTCACTTAAGAAATAGAAGAGACAATTTGAAGCCTAGCAACATAAGTTGATTGAGATATTGACTGTGTAGTTTTCTAACTTCCGGTTTGTAATAACTTGGTAAAATTAAGCGTGATCTCAAAATCTTTCTCAAAATTTGACTCTAGACAGAAATTCGAAGTAGGTCTCATCCAAATGTTTTTTTCTGTCATAATAGTTTTAACTGACATTAGTAAGGGGGTTGCATATTAGCTATGTTGTTCGACTTACATACACTAAGTCTTAGGTTCGAGGCCCACTCTACCTATTTCGGTTCGGTTCGCCCCGACCGAAGCTGCTACCTTGACGCGGTGGTCGGGCTTGCCTATCGTGATGACCCAACCGAGCTATATTGGCTGGAAAATATGTTCCTGTAGGTTCTACCATGCCAGGCAGGTCGATTGGTGAACGGTAAGACTAAAAGCAGCAACTCAAGGTCTGAGGGCGAAGTCGTACTGCTGACTGTAGAGAGGTGTGACAGCAGTAAGGTGTCTCCCACGGACAACCAGCATGACAGCGATGCTGCCTTCCCACAAGGAGGGGTGGGGTTAGAAAAGGTCGACCCTAAAAATGTCACACCTCACCTTACCTCACGGATTTTCGTCTCCGTCGGTAAGGCCGTTTGAAGAACGGAGCTAACACGTCAAAAACCTTCCACAAAAAGGCCGTGCGCGACCGGCCTCAAGCAGTTGTCCCTTGGGCTCTGCGGTCACACTCCCAGGTCGTCAAGACCAACACTAATCCAATTTCCTTTTCAGGTTCCTCAAGAAATACCCTTCCACGGTGTGGGCAGCCGGGAAGTGATATCAGCCCTCATACCCGTAACAGCACACGAGACCAAGTTGGTCACATTCAAATCCTTCCTACACCTCCTAATACCTCTCTTATCTCCATGACTAACCCTCCTCACGTCTCTTTATCACCTCGCACCGGTAGGACAAACGATTCGAGTACGTGGAACGATATTCCTGGTCTCCTGAAACCATGCTCTAAGCTACACGTAGGAACTTTTAACGTCCGAACACTGTGCCAAATAGGACAACAGGCTTCCTTAGCTAGGACCTTAGAATCCCGCGCCATCGATGTGTGCTGCGTCTCCGTAACGCGCATACAGGATCCGAGTGGCGTCATTCATCTGACCTCACCATTCCAAAATAAAGAACCGACTCGATTCACACTTCGTGTATCTGGAAGCCCTGATTCTGCTTCCCGTGGCCTCGCTGGCGTAGGCATAGCATTGAGTCCTAGGGCAGAACTAGCTATCTTAGAGTGGATCCCAGTAGACAGTCGTTTGTGCGCTGTCCGACTGCACGGAACAGTAAGAATCCGGAAAGATAGGGACACCCGTCGTCACCTCTTCGTCGTCTCTGCCTATTCTCCTACTGACTGCAGCTCAGAAGATGTAAAAGATGAGTTTTACAGAAAGCTTTCCGACCTTCTCGGAAAAGCTAGGCGCTCAGATGTAGTAATAGTGGCCGGTGACTTTAATGCTCAAGTAGGTAAACTAAGCGATAGGGAAAGACACCTAGGTGGATCTTATGGTGTCGTGGCTCAAAGAACAGATAATGGCGACCGTCTGTTGCAGCTATGCTCAGATAATCGCCTGTTCCTTGCAAATACTATCTTTAAGCATAAGGAAAAACATCTTTTAACATGGCGACCCCCTAATTCGTCCCAACGTTCGTCCCTTTACGAAGTTGAAAAAGCCATAGGAAATCTGAAACGAGGGAGAGCAGCAGGCCCTGACAGGTTAACCCCTGAGATTTTTAAGGATGGTGGTCCAGTATTAGCAATGAGATTAACCGAGGTCTTAGGTAGAATTTGGGAACTGGACGTAATCCCATCTGACTGGTCTCAATCACTGATTGTGCCAGTCTATAAGAAAGGACAAAAGTCCTCTTGTGACAATCACAGAGGAATCAATTTGACTAATATAGTGTCTAAAATATTAGCTTCAATAATACTTCAACGCCTAACCAAAGCTCGTGAAGAGCAGATTAGAGAAAAGGAGGCCGGTTTTCGACCTGGACGTGGTTGTATATATCAGATATTCACACTACGTCAGGTTCTAGAACACAGACACACGTTTAGACGCCCCACAATGGTAGTATTTCTCGACCTTAAGGCGGCATTCGACTCTGTTGATCGTGAGGTTCTATGGCAGTGTTTGTCACTGAAAGGAGTACCAAAGAAGTACATTAACCTTATTCAGGCTCTCTACTCGAACACAACTGGTAGAGTGAGAGCTTATGACGAACTGTCATCAGAATTGATTACATCAAGTGGTGTTGGTCAGGGCTGTCCACTCTCCCCATTCTTGTTCAATTTTGTGGTCGACGTACTTTTAGAGATAACACTCTCCTCATCTAAATTTCCGGGGGTTGAACTTCTACCGGGAGGTTCACTTTTTGACTTAGAATATGCTGATGACATAGTTTTATTTGGTGAAGACGCTGACAAAATGCAGAGTCTTCTGACCACTCTAAGCAACAATGCATGCATGTTCGGGATGCGATTCTCTCCCTCGAAATGCAAAATGTTGCTTCAGGATTGGGTTGCATCGACACCCGAACTAGTGATAGGGAGTGAAGTAGTTGAGTGTGTCGACCGCTTCACTTATCTTGGAAGTCTCATCAGCCCTTGTGGTCTGGTGTGTGACGAAATCTCAGCACGGATACAGAAGGCTCGACTAGCTTTTGCCAACTTGCGTCATTTATGGCGTAGGCGAGATATCCGTCTATCAACCAAAGGACGTGTTTACTGCGCAGCAGTTCGTCCCGTCCTACTTTATGGCAGTGAAGCATGGCCGGTAAGAGTAGAGGATATTCGTAGGTTACTAATATTCGACCATAGGTGTCTTCGAAACATTGCTCGTATATCATGGGACTATCGAGTAAGTAACACAGTCGTTAGGAAACGGGTACTAGGTAAGGATGGCAAATCAATTGATGAAGTAGTGAAACTTCATCAGTTGAGATGGCTGGGACATGTGTTACGTATGCCCAACCACCGACTGCCTCGACGTGCGATGTTCAGTGGTATAGGAGTAGGTTGGAAGAAAGCTAGGGGCGGCTAGACCAAAACATGGCACAAGTCCATGAAGTCACTGACAAGTGGTCTGAGTCATATTGGTAGGTGTAGACTACCTGGTTGGGGACCGCGAGATGATAGCAACCGATGGTTAGAGACCCTGAATGACATGGCTCAAAATCGTTTGCAATGGCGCAGGTGCATCCACTCTTTATGTTCTCCCAAATTTTGATCTCCTGATTCCTCCTTGTCTCTTTTTTTCTCTTCCCAAATTTATTTCACTGTATTATACTCTTTAAATAACATTTCCAAACACTAATCTTCCCGACTACTGCTTATACTCTTATTACTTCTACCATTACGGGATTTGAATCGACCACTGCATCTCTGTGCTAATGTGGTGTGGCAACTCGAACTGATGTACGTACGTACGAAGTTCTACGTTGTTACTGACTGACTGACTGGATTGCGGTTCGGGCGAATAGGTAGCATTATTAGCCGTGACACTTGAAATACCAGGGAAATGAGTTAGCTTATTTATTATTGTTCGCACACTAACGGTGGCTGTTTGAAATCATAATCAAAATTAATAATTTCTAGAAATCATTCCAGTTTCTTACGATGGCAGTGACGCAAATGACGTTATTTAAATTTCTAGCCCTTTTAACCAGAAAAATGTACTTAGTGTGATTCATGGGTAATCCCCATCTAATGGGTTACAACTTCTACTTATTCCCGTAACATCAACTGAGTCACCATGATGGATCAGTAATGCTTCGAAGGTAATTATGGTCGTTTCTTAGTAGTCCACTTGTATTCTCGACTTTCAATTATCATACTTTATAGGCATAAGTAGACTGTAGACTTAACTTTTGATAGACAGAAAGATGTTTTTCCTATGCTACAGGTGACTCAGGTAGTACCTGTTATCTCAATACGGAGGTCAGCCTCACCTATTATGACTACCCATTCGAGTTCATATTGGCTAGAACACTTATTTGATGAGGTCCAACCGTGCTGAGCAGGTATGCTAGATGTTAATGGGACATAAAGCAGCAAATGTAAGGTCTGAGGGTGAGGTCGTGGTTTCGATTGTGCTGAGATGTCGGAGTAAGGTGTGATGGTGACTCTTACAATCAATCTCGATTATGGTTAAATTTCGTCAAGCCCTTTATTAACTCACTTAACGGACAATGTTATTCGACCAGAAACACTTCGCATATTTCTTTGTACTATTATGATCACTATCTTGTCGGTATAATCCTATACGCTTGATCACATGACATCCTACACACGTATCTTTCTAGCTTAAATATCGCTTGATGAATCATTCTATTTCCCTTGTATATATGTACTCGAATCCTACTGTTAGCTTTTGCCTTGCCTAGCTGTGCCTTATTCGATTTAACTATAGATTTGCTCTTGTATTTGATTGCATACATACATTAGACTCTTCTTCAAATCTGCTCAATGAGCTTATAACCTTGTTATTTAGAACAATGTATATAAGCGAACAATATTGTTTCTGATTAGATCATCAGGCTTTACTCTAATATGTAGTAATATTTATATGCACGTACGAAATTATTACACCACATTGTTGTCTGCGCTATCCGCTAGTAAACTGTAGTCGCCACTTCTTATCGTCTGATTTCAAACACCGTTGGGATTTATATGATAACAGTTATCAATGGGGCTGAATAACGAAGCTAAGCCACTACGGTGTTTTCTACGGATAACCAGCTCCAAGAGTGTTGCTTTCCTCAGAAACAAAGGAGGATTAAGAAATCCTGGCCTCAAAACACCACGCCTCACTTTGCTCAAAGGATTTCCGTTCCTGAAGTTGAGTTCTGGCTAGTACAGAACTAATCCCTCTGAAAGTACCTACAGAAAGATATTAAGTTACCTCTTTCAAGCAGCTATAACTTGGACTCTGGAGTCACGAAACCACCACTACTAACCTAGTTTCCTTCTCAAGAACAAATATCTTTTTACGATTAGGTCAACTGAGAAGTGACACTATAGCACCTTTGCCTGAACTCGAGATTTTAAATTGGTATATTGCTTTGGGCAATCAATTTCGATTCGCCATTTTTCTAAAGATTTCATGCTACATCCAGTAATGTTAAAGGTGGGTTGTTTAGACTTCAAATAATTCTTAAAGTTTCACTATCGGATAATCTAACATGAGCTTTAACAAACAATAATCAACTGCATGAGTTTAAGATTTATACTGCCTATCGCTTATCAATAAATTTTTAAAAAAATTAGTCAAATCTGTCCATCAACCATGAAAGTTTTGATATCTCAAAAAAACAGTACAAGTTAAAATACTAAATAGAAAGATTTATTTAGACAATTTAACTCACCTGTTTCAGTTTTATAGCTTAAAAAACTTTTTACATTTATTTGTTCATTATCTGCTGTTATATAGTTAGAATCTGTCTTCTCTTTCAAAAGTTCTGCATCATTAAATATATCATAAATTACATTCTTATTACCTTCTACATAGCAGTCACTTGATTGACGTGATCTTGTTTGTCCATCAAACTGGGATATATTTCCGCTTAAACTGTTCTTCTTTAAAAATGATTTATTGTGTTCATTATTCAGAAAATCAGAGACAGAACCATTAGTTGACAAAGTATTTTGTACTTCACTGGAATATAGCCGATTACTTTCGTTTTTATCATCAACTTGACTTGGTATATTACCAGTTAGATAACCTGGAAATGTCAAAGTACTGACTGGTTGTCCTTTTAAGCCTGGAAAGAAACCACTATCTATAGCAAATACCTTTTCTACTTCATGACCTGGTCCACCGCCTAAAATTGTCTCAATAAATGTTATTACAGTTGGATCGAATAGTACCTGAAAATCAAGTGTAATGCAACAACAGTCTGTAGGATAAGTAAGGAATAGATAGAATTAACTATTGCTTTGCTCATACTATTTATGTTTAATTACAGTTAACCAAACTGTATTTCAATAACTGCGTAATGCGGTCTTTAAAAGTGGAGGGTATTTTCAGTTTGCTGGTATTTGATCTACCTTCTAAGCACTGCTGGGGAACCTATTTAAATAATCGTAACCTGAGGCTTTTTTTTACCGCAACTACACATTATTTTGTGATCTTATTTCATTCAGAAATGTCGAACTAGTGGGAAAGAAACATTTTCTTTTTTAGTTAGTTATGATATATAATGTATCCACAAAAACACTTCTTAAAGATCCAGCTGTCGATAAATGTCATCATGTGGTGTACGCTACTTATATCCACATAAGTAGTATCCAACGATGGTCAAGAATAGTAGTATTTCAGTAGAAGATCGAGGAGAGGATGGGAACGGTAGCAATTTTTTTTGAAAATACACGAACAATGAAGTCTGAGACGATGGACTGATGTTTGCAAAAGGAACAGTCAAGTTTGAGACAATTGATTGACATTTTGCAAATTAAGTATTTACTGTATGGTTCTCAGATTTTAGTGAGATATTCTGTAATTTCGGGTTCGAATATATTCACTTGTCCCCATTTGTGTTCTTGTTCACTATAATAGCACTTAATAATGGTACATCGAATTTTACTCCGTGTAGGATAACTTTAATGATTGATAAAAATGCGAAAACATGATTTTTTTTATTAACGTTACTAAAGTCACAGTTTATATCAGATTATCCTTCTGTAATTCTTCAAATAAGTAGTTAATATTTTCATCATGAATATATAATATTCATCACATTAAACATAACATAATTAGATAACCAAAGTAACGTTATATCTACAAAAAAAACACTGCAGATAAATATTGTTGTTAGTCACAATATTCTTTTCACTCGGTTTGCAAAAAACTTAGGCCGGAAAATTTCATGAAATCTGAATTGTTTTTACTTTATATTCAGTGTGATATGGTACGGCCACCGTATTTTGTTAATGATTACTCTATGATATCACCGAATTATATTTAATAGTTAAAATATAATGCATAGAACACAATGAATGCTGTTTTATTTTCTTATGGCATATTATAATAGGTGTAAGTTAATGAATTCAAAAAGGAGACAAACAAAAACGCTAATGTTCTCTAATACTGTGTAATGTAAATTTCATTGTCAAACAATAAAAAGGATCACAATAGAAATTTGTAACATAACAGAATCAAAATAGTTAAGTAATAATGTTGAACGTAAACCATAAACTGAATACACTAAAACTCAAGTTAAAATGAATAAGTTATGTTAGCATTCAATTATTTTCAATAACTGATCAATCCTATTTTATATATAATAAAAAAAATACAATGAGTTCAACTTCATTTTGTAAAGTTAGTTATCATTATTCTACTTAGATTTAGAAGAAACTAAATCGTGATTCATTCGAGTGCGATGATTATAATAAGAATGAACTCAACTTTTCCAAACCTATGTTTGTTTGTTTTTGGTGCTGTTTATTCTATTCTTACAAAATAACACCTATGTTATCTATAAAAGTATGTTGATCAATGAAGTGAACTTTTTTCTCCATCAAATGATATACTACTAATATTATATAGTTAAGTTGATATTTTATTGTAAAGTAGTTATTTGGATTTCTACAGAAAGCATCTAGGTAACAATAATTTTAGAGAACTACGTAGTAATTAGCAAATTCATATTTGCTAAGATATGGGTTAAATTGTAATTAAAATGACTTTGATCTTTTCTTTTTAGAACAACATATATAAGCGAACAATATTGTTTTCGATTAGATTCTCATCTGACTTTACTCTAACAAACTGTAATATTATGTGTATCTACGAATTCAGCTGCTCCTGTGGAGAAATTTATATCTGGCGCACTACCAGGCAACTGAACCAAAGAGTTTATGAACACCTCTTTTCGTGGTTTGGAAAAGTTAATGCCAAGACAATGCGCAGCTCAGTTTTATCACACTTGATCGATAGCGGATAGAAACAAGTCATTTAGAGTTATTTATCGTATTCCTATGGTGTTTGATCTCATCTCTTGCACATAGCAGAAGCTATAAAAATTCCAAGTCTGTGTTCATAAGAAATTTGTAACACCCTTGTCTCTCCTTTGGCCTAATATAAATACTCTTTGTTCGTTTGTTTTTTTCTTTACACTCTCCCGACCTTTCTTCTCTCTCAAATATACGCTTTATGGTCTAATTATCTGAACACTTCTTGTTACGTAATTTTATAATTTTTATAAATGTTATCCCACTGTATATTTTTCTAACCACTGACCTATTTCCGATTATGTAACATTGATTTGAGCCTTTATTATTCTTATGAAAACCTAGTACAACTGTTATCACACTATCAATTTGTACTTTTCACATATTATGTAATTGTTTCCATTGTTATCATTGACTCACAAACTACCTTGATTGGTTTAATAATTTCATATATGCATATAAACAGTACTGCATATTAGAGTAAAGCCTCATGAAGATCTAATTGAAAACAATATTGTTCGCTTATATTTGTTGTTCTGAATTTACAATATGGAAATTTTCCAAACCTTTCTTATTTAACATTGAAAGTAAATTTTATACTTTTAACTATAAATTTGACCAACAAAAACTCAATTCAACTAAGATTTTTATTAGCTATGGTGAAGCTTATAGAGTTTCTAATTAATATTTAATAAAATAAATTTTTACTTACATTTGATGAAAGACTATGCAAGACATTAGATTCGAAAATATTTCCTGAGGCAATTAATGGATTGAAGTAAGTACTTCCATATTTTGATTTAGTTGATAGAAGGCTTGCATTGGTTACATCATCTAGAATTGAAAAGAAATATTTTTATTGTATGATATAGGCTTGTGTGTAAAGGATGAATTATTTCAGAAAAAAAAACATTGGAATCTTCGATGTATTCAGAAATACTATTTACTACTTAGTGTGTTGTCTATTTTCAATATAAATATTAACATTAACTAAATCCATTGATAATGTATACTGTTATTTCAAATTTTGCCACAGAATTACACTTTTGGAAATTATTTTCAAGTAACATTAAATGATCTAGGTTTTTTCATAACTTGTGAACGCCGATTAATGTGCAGTGACTTATCGATCGGATCAGTGACGCGTAAAACATGTGCGAGCAGCCTAGAGTCCTGATTGGCCATGCTTCCCACCTAGCCCGGCCAGTTAATTCCAGAACACCGGTCTCAGCCTCTGCAATATGGATCATTTATTTCAAACATATGGGGTTTATTAAAAAGAAGAATATATTTGTAAAATCTCAGCGAATGAATTTTAAGTAAATCCAACGTTTCGCCTGGCAATCTGGTCCAAGCTTTTTCAAGGAAAATATAATCAAAAAACAAAATTATCGAATATAAATAGGTACAAGGTTCTTCGGTTTACTGTATACTGAATAAGTCATCCAATCAACGTGAAGTACCAATCAAACAGATCACAACGTACCATAAAATAGAAAATAACATTTGTACAATATTTGGCCAAAAGTGCCTGTGAACGATGGAGGTAGTGATTAACAGACAGGGAATAATTCAAGAATGGTAAGTCGTATAATAATAGTTCATAGGTCAAAATAAAACTCATAATAACAGGGACATGAATATGAACAGTTTAGTTACATAACAATTACACGATAAAATATACTCATAGTATTGGTTCATAAATGGATCCCGAAAATTACCATTCATTATTCTTATCGGGATATAACAGTTTTGATAAAAATTGTGAAGAAATAGTAAAGTACGTAAGAGACTGGTAAGAAGAAATGTGTTTCGGAAAACGTTGCAAATAAACATACACATTGAATCTCCTTGAATAAATGTTTATTTTTGAACGATTTTGTCTACACCAACATTGTATACAGAATCACAATATTAGGGAGTTGAAAATGCTATGAACTGTACATTAAAAGTATTTGAAATCTATGAATAAACTCATTAAAATATCAAATTTACATTGAGGTACAAAAATCTAAGCTAATATAACAATCTTTTAATCAAGCCAGAAAAATGATTAAGGCAGAATAATATGAATTCATTATATTTTGTGGTTTCTTATCAGCTGCTAACAACCATTTGTGTATATAAAGGTAACAATGAGGTATGATATAATGTGAAACAAATGACATTGATGGCGGAACGAATTAGAACGACAAAGGTTATCAGTAATAACTGATATATATGCAAGAACATGTAAGAGGTCATTTGGGGGTAGGATCCAAAAAAATAAAGGGTGGATGATGCATTCATGAATTGAGGTCCAGAGACTAATAAGATAGATTGTGTGATAATTTTAGGTGTTGTGAAAGATTTACATAAGGTTACTGGAATTAGAAATTGATGAGTTACGTGATCATGGAACAGGATTTGAAGAGTTTACAGAAGAGAATTAAATGAATGGAAACGTATGAGTTAAGGGATAGTTTTGGTGTTAGTTAAGGGAAGACCACATAACAATATAAGCACTAATGTAATAATGATAAAGACAAAAATAATTTACCAAGGTGATAAGTCTGTTATTGTCAATTTCTGAATACATAAATCTGATGTGAGTTTTTTTATTACTATTGCTTCGACGAACCGGAGAGACGCTGCGTTTTTTTATTTTTTAATAATTTTGAAAGTTTGTGGAATGTCAGTGGTATGCTCGTTGTTAAACAAATGCCAAGCTTTTGCATTGTTTAGAGCCGTTGCACCTCTCAGTGATGAATTCATACTAATCTGCCTCAACTGGTGTTTTGGCTTTATCAAATTTCATAAAGGTAACAATGTTTATTTACACTTCGGAAACAATTATGTAATAAGGAAAATGCGTGAACGGTTTGATTCGCGTCAGCCATAAATAAAGTTTAGGAAGGTTTTTGATGAAGTAATGTGTTATAAAATAATCATATATTGCTTTGTTATATTCAATCTAACTCGATCAGTTCATCCCATTTCCTTTTGTCACAAATTTATAATTTTTTTAAAATATATAAATGCTCTTAACAAGTATATGTGTGATCAGATTGTTCGAAATGTATTGCGCTAATATATCACAGAGTTCTGATAATCATCGTCTTCTAATATCATTATCGAAATTTATCAAAGGAACTAATTATTTTAAATTTTGTTTTCGTCTAATTTGAACAAAAAGTTATCTGAATTTGTTGTCTTTTTCTGTAATTTTTTATCTCATTATTTTATTGTTATACTTAGATTTGAATCTAACCTTTAATACGTCAAAGCGCATCACCTATTTGTTACATCTGATTATTCATTGTGAATTTCGGACTGTTGTTAGGTGGTTGACATGATCCTGTGAACTCAAATGGATCCATTGTATAACTGATACATGTATGACCCTGTTCTCCATACAACTGTCGCATACCGAAATCTAACGATGTAGTTGAAAGATTTAGAAAAATATAGCCATAGATATTCAATGAAAGCTTAATCAGTTGTAGTAATACATTATCATAAACTTACAAAGCTCAGTTACAAGCATAGGATGATTGTGTTCAGTCATATTTAAAATATCTAAAAGCAATCGATAGAGAATACAATTAGCCAGTAAGGATAAATGTAAAAAATCACTATTAAACAGTATACTTAGATGAATGACAACTACTGACAAATATCACTTTTAACTATGTCCTATTTTAGCAACATGAAATGAAAATGAGAGATTTCTTAGTTTGACAGAGCGTGAGATCAAAGTAAAGCATTATCATATAAATATATTCACAATGGTACAAGATGTAAGGCAAGGTACTACAACATTAAAGTTATCTCACCAATGAATTGAGAGCAGCCTTAAAAGTTCTGAAGCTGAAAGCTGGTAAATGATGAACTAAAGTCAATTTATGACGAAGAATCTGAAAGAGGCTTTGGTTATAGCTTGACAACACATTCGATACAACAATGATTCAGAAATTAGATGTTAATATAAAATCAGATGGGTTTTGTGGAGATTGTAGTAATTTCAATGATTAAGATCATGAGTCAGTTGAAGCTAGGCCACCATGGAAAACCTGGAAGCACTGGACGGCCGTTTCGTCCTAATGTGGGACTCCTCAGCAGTGCGCATCCACGATAGTAACTCACTGAAGACAATGGTGAATGTGTCGTTCAATTTCGTGAATTAGTTGAAGTTAGACATTAACACCGTCGGATGCCGGCTCAGTGGTCTAGTGGTTAAGTGCTCGCGCACGAAACCAGCAGGTCCTGGGTTTGAATCTCGCAGGGGGCGAGGTCGTGGATGCGCACCACTGGGGAGTCCCACAATGGGACGAAACGGCCGTCCAGTGCTTCCAGGTTTTCCATGGTGGTCTAGCTTCAACTGAATCATGATCTTAACCATTGTAATAAAAAATCATCAAGTAACATTGAAAATATAATTGCAAACTATAATAAGTAAATCTGTTCAATTTATTACATCTCACAAAGTAATCATTCATTTGTGAATAACTAGTACCTTGTTATAGTTCTTAACTATAACAGAATTAAAGAGACGGAACTTGACAGTATGATTAGTAACCTAAGTAACTCAACATTTTTCTATTCAGTTTACTTAATTTCGCATGGTTAGAAGCCATTTATAGAAATATTAACTCCGTGGTTTTGTGTTCATCGGTATATAAAACCTATGGTAAATTCTTTCATTTTGAATTATATGGTTCTAAATAGAAAAAAACTTTGTGACCTTTTAGAAATATCCACAACTTATGGCAGTGTATATCAATCAATAATTATGAAGACTCAATTTAAAAAGTTTTCAATAGAATATTTTCAATAAAGAAGCTTGTGTATTAATTAGAATATTTAAAGCTAAAACTTAAAAGGAAAAAAACACTTTCACAAACTTGTTTTATGTGCATCAGCTAACAACTGACGAATATTCAAAGTACATAGGATACTTTCTTTATCTATCATTAATGAAGGCTTTCCAGAAATATCAAATGAACATGAGAGTACAACACAAGTTGAACATCTTTCAACACCAGCAGCTTGAAGATTTGCTCTGTTTAATGGTGATCCCTAAATTGTGTAATAAAATTAACTGAAGGATAAGAATAATAAGTTTTTGTAAATTTTTAAATATATATGTTAATAACAAGTTTTCTGGTTACACAAATGATGAATCGTATCCTTATAGAATTATGAAGAATAACAGCTACTTTGGCATATATGACAGATATATTATAATTATTGATTTATGATGATATTATACCAGTTTCCCTTAGCTCTTTGAAATGTTTTTATTATTTACTCGGACTTAAGTGATGCTACTCTGTAGTATATATGTTTTTCTAAAGAAATGATTTTAGAAATCGCATCCAGTTCACCATACTAATTACAACATATAGATATAAATACACGAATTTTGGTAAATATGGTTTATCAGAGGATAAGAATATCTCATAAATCATCTTAATTTTTACATATTTGAAAATAAAACAATCAAAACTTGACTTTTGATAGCTACTAACTGTATATATTACAACTGACAACTCGGAATGGTAATCCGCAGCATAATATGGTAAACATTAGTGGTTCCACAAAAAGTAATTTCTTAGTAAGATTACAAAAAGAGTTAATATCAGTACACGTTCACTGCAATTTCTGGTGCTTTTCAGAATTGTGAACTGAAGCTTTGATATTGTAAGTTTAAATCACATATCCTAAATCATACTTTGTTAATAAACAAATCGAAGCACTGATATTTTTTGTGAAATTTCGAACCAAATAAAACAACTTGGCCTCATTAAGAAAGGAAACCCCTGAAGGATTATTAATAACATTGAGGAGATTATTCATTAAGAATTCCTCATATCTTTGTGTTTTATATCAGATATCTTCCAGTTTATACTAAATAATTATGGTAGATCCCGATTTTTCTTTAAAGATGAACATCTTACTCTATGTGAGATAGTATACCATGTACGAATCCTTAAAGAGAAAATGAGTGGTTGTTTAATATAGCAAAGAAAAAGTTATTGTCAGATGCTCGTCGATTTTAACCACATTAATAAATAATAAATACGTGTTTGACTTCAATGAAAGATAAGTAGAGACGAATATAGTACTTAATGCTGGATCGTTATTCAATACCGAAGCCAAGGAACATTAAATATTAGGAATAAACCCTACATAGAATATTATCAAATTTATATACAATGATGTCTCGACAAAGTTAAATAAAAACTTTCTTCTTATACTTTACTAAAACTGATGGGATAACCAGATTAAATTGACAGATGTGTGCAATATCGGAAAGACATTCATAGAAAGATCAATGAAATCGAGAGTTTATTAGTTACTTATTAATTTAATAACTGATAAATCCTCAATATGATATAATACAGCAGTTATCAATGTCTTGTTGTCTCTGGGTATTAGTACTTTCATGCAATTGGTTCCCTTTATGAATTTGAATAGAGCAAGAACAAACATTGATGCAGAATAGTATGAATTCATATTATTTCGAGATTTCTCGTCAGCTGCTTACAAACCAAAATTGTGATAGAATTTTTACATGGAGATAGTGTGAAAACAATTGACATAAGTGAGTGTAAATAACTGGATTACAATAATAAATATATATATATATGCTAGAAACAGGTCAGAGGTCAAAAGAGGGGGGTTAATCCAGGGTGAGTGGTGTAATAATTTAGTGAAGTTCATAAATTGTGATAATTGTAGAGATTAATGAAATTAAATAATGATAAGGTAGATTACGTAATAATAATTAAATGGAATTTGGAAAGTTAAGATAATTTAAGAGGATCAGGTGGTGGTATGTACTGATAATGAAAGCTATCTGTTAATCAACCAAATCACTAGATTTTCATTATGACTAATTTAAAATAAGCAAGTAACATTCTGAAAAAAAATTATCGAAGGCTATGATATTTCTCGGATAAAGTGACTTACTGAAAAGACATAGATATTTGGGAGATTTTTCAAAGATCGCCATTCATTTTCAATAACTTTAGCTTCACACAAAATAATTATTGGTTTCAATTCTTCGACCGGTATCGAAGTAGATCTGAGTGGAAGTACAAAACTAGCTAAACCTGATTTTATTTCTTTAGGTTGTTTCATGATGCATACAATGATATGATTTTCAAACTGACAGCGAATCATTTCTTTCATCGTCTGGAAAGGTAAATAAATTCTTCAGTTATTTACTAATTAAAACTTATCAAAAGCGATTAAATAGAGGATTGTCTGATTTTAAAAAGTATAGAGCTCTAACCTCACTATGTGAGTAATCTTTGCAGTATTTACCTTTAATCACCAAGAGTTCCCAACAAGAATAATAGACGTAGCGAAATTTCTTTTGATGACACTGAGTTAAAAAGATTTATCGGGTGACCGAAATCTGTTTTTCCGATTGAACAGACTCGCCAGTAATGTAATATGTTTCTACTATGATCAGGTCAAATACTCACTGTTGAGGTGTATGGTAACACATAAGTATAAACAACTAACAAACTGGGTGAGTAAAAAATTGTCTGTAATTTGTATATTTGAATAATTATACTACTTTACTTCAGTTTTCGAACTACATAGAAATGAATAAAATTTAATTCTACAAAAGTAGACCATAAAGCTCAGTAACTTCATTGAATGTATAACCTAATTAACCTTCAAGTTTCGTGGCTTATTTGTTAGAGGATTGCGCTGGTAATATAGAAGCCAGAAGTTCATTTGAAGATTAGTCGTTGTTATTTTGGTACTCAGAAGATTGTATTTTAACAAGAGTCATTTTTGATTAAGTTGATCAAAGCGCATGTAAAGTTAAATTTAACTGCCAACTTGGTAAGACTTTCAACCAATGAAGTTTAGTTCTTTAAACACCAATATAATTTACAATCACCTTGATAAGCTATTTGTAAACAATTGGTTTGAAGCATTGTTTAGTGTATATAATGACACAATAATGACAATATCTTAAAGAAACTGGTACAGGAAATATATGAGAAAATTGTATTAAAAAAATCAGATAAGACAAACAATTTGATTTATTCTATTTTACTTACCAAACATATATTTGAAAATTTTCTCTCAGTTACCCAATAAAATAAACCGGTACTATCACATTGTAAATCGATTACATTCAGTCTTTGTAATTGCGCTAAATCAGTTATTGTACTCTCTGGATATGGATAACGATAATAAGAATTCATCGAAAAACTACTTGCACATGTAGGGACTTTTTTTAATACTTTGGCTTTCCTAAAGTGTAGTTTTTGTTATCCATGAAAGTAGAAAGTAAATCAATAAAAAACACGTGATTTAACTTTAAAATTGAAACTCATTTATGGTAATTTAGAACAATAAAACATTCACAAGATGACATTTCCTAGAATTTTCGATCTAATAATCTAGAACTGTTTCAGTAGACAATACTTGATAGCTTAAACGAAGAATGAGCAAATTAAAATATTGATATTTTTCAAACCTGTGGTGATTCAGTTATCAATTTGTTTTAGTCAACCTCATGAATTTTGATGATAATAGAATATACAAATGTACCTTGTGGAGATGATTAACGCAGACATATTTTGTAAATAATTTTTGTTGTTATTCACATTTGTCATAATTTCATGTAATTTGTACAATCATTGTTGTTGACCGTTATTTAAATTTAACATTGACTTTCTGTTATTGTTTTAGTCTGTTATTGTATGACACTGATTATCGCTGACGAATACACTGCTGCTAACACACTTTTCGTTTTCATTTAATCAGCTGTCACATTAATAAATCTATAATGTCATTGCTATAAACGTTTATTGATCACATTGATATCCTCATTACTCGATTATTCTTGCTATACATTAGATTGGCTCATATATATATATATATATATATATATATATATATATATATATATATATATATATATATATATATATATATCGTATTTTGAATTATTGATTACTTATTATAATTGTCGATTACGTGACCAAAAAACGAACACGCTTCCGAATGACAATTAAAGTAACTTCCAACATCCTTATCTATGTATTTATATTTTTGCATATGATTTTCTTCGCATGTTTTGATAATACTTTATCACTATTTCTGTATTAATAATGTTGCTCGGCTACAACTTTTATAGAACGTAGAAGAGGATATGGATCATTTGATCTTTTCATAAATTATTATTACAAAATGGTTTCGAATGAGCCTATGATAGTACAAATAACTTTAAATCAGTTTATTAGACATAAGTGTTTGACACCGTAGACTGATAAAGCAAATTGTAATATCTGACACTTCAACATTTTGAAACAACTGAGGAACAAGTTAGATTTCTGGTAATGATATTATGATGATGATTTTCTACACGAAATCGTAATACTATGATCAAATTTATTATGATGCTATCTTTACACCAATAATTTCATCACACCTGCTGGAAAAGTTCATTTCATATTTCATAATTTTCATTCAGAATCTACAGAAACTTAGCTTACAAACCCGATTACCATGTATAATACTGCTTAGTTGATAGCTCTTATCAGGTTTAGTTATTTTATAATTTGATGTTATTACAGTTCACTTACTACGATTCGTTTGTAGGGTTTATCCACAGCTTTTAAGAAACATATGTACTCTCAATATCTCTGTAGTGACCTACTTTTATCAAGAGAACGCGATTAATTTAATGGAAACAATCATTATTATAACCAATTGTAACACTGATTGTTTTGCTGTGCTCGTTTGTTTAACTGTGCTAAAGACAGCCATATTGCTGCTCAATTATCCCTTGATTATGACCTTGCACGGGTTTGGTTACGCTCGGTAACCACGCTTGTACTCCTTTGGCACGATCTCGGTATCCTTTCGATACCACGAGATCGTCAACAAATACATCTCGACTACAGCCATCAACTGCCTTTTGATATCTGGCTTACGGGGGATTTTATCGGTTAACTGGCACGTAGTCTTCTTGTAGTGGTGTTCATAGTCAAACGCTACTCGACACCACGCTACAGCTGTAACCTATGTAACTCAACACAGTACTTGCATGAGTAATTACTCTTTAGTGAACTCCTGTTGGACTAGGTCATCGAAATCGGTTGGTAATACAATAATAATTGGCTATCATTTTATCAGAGACGAAATCCTATGAAAAAATGGACTATTTGGTTAATGGCTTAAGGCACATAAAATTATAAATCCATTGAGTTCGATATGACTAGTCACAGGAAGAACTGAATCTTTCGAGGATATTTTACACTTTAATATGAATGACTTCATTTAAGATTGATGTTTTTAATGTCTTTTAGAATGGATTTGTTTAGAACATGTTCCGTGCTCTGTACAGTCGTAAACTAAGTCTATCCTGCATAATGTATATAAATGTAGAAATCCATTTAAATGACACTGTGAGTTATGACATTTAGAGATCTTTATTTCGCTAATAAGAAGATATTTTATGGTAGAATATATAAAATCAGTGAATATTTATTTGGTGAAGCGAATATTTTTACAGTTAGACAAGGACTGTAAAGAAGATGATATACTGTTTAAAATCTTGAAGGTTTTCAACTTGCCAACTTAGGGGGTTGTACAAATTAAAGAGAATATGTTCTAAGATTAACTCAAAAATATCAGTTCTTAACAATTATAGTGATATGCATCAACCAACCTTTAACATTTTCTAAGCAATTTTATTGATCTTTTACAATATATAGTTTTTAAACGCTTTATTGAATGTTCTCTAGTTATTAATAAGTATATACTATATTTAATTAGTTTCTAACATACCTGTAAAATCTGATGAAAGCGTCTAATGTTTTGTATTTTAAAAAATCAAATTGTTACGGTCAAAATATTACCTTGGTAAAATCATTTTGTTTCCATGACAATCCATATTCATTTCAAGGCAGTTAAAATTAAAGTTGAATAACTTGTGAAAAATAGAATGTATTCAATAAGTACTTTGTTATTTCCTAAGGCTCCTCAAGAATAAGAACATATCATACCTCTCAGAATTCAACCTTAAATTCCTTATCTTTGAGATGAATATATTAGTTCTAACTCACTCTATTGAATAATAAAAACTTTAAGATAATCGTGACTTTTGATATGACGAAATACAGATTATCGTCATCATAGATCGCCTATGTAGGTATGGAAGCTAAAGATTCACAATAATAACAACGTTTTTTTTATTTACAGTTATTATCAGTCTGTTATTGAATATTGATCCGTTCCCGGAGGTAACAATTTGAGATTCATTTCTTTCTAGATGGAATCTAAAGAATTCATTGATAAAATTAAACTTATATAGTTCGAAAAATATTATAGGAATCACACAAGATATTCTTTATTAAATAATATTTCAGTATAAATTGTTTACTTACCTCATATTACAGTAAGTTACAATTGATTGTCGAAAAAATCTAAAACACATTTGAATTGTTTTAACAAAACTATTTGCAATTGGGGATAGTGTGTTTGACTGCTCGCATATATTATCTACAAATTAGGTGGAATTTACAATCAGATCCATTAGAACACTTGGCATAGAATATCTATTGTTTTAAAACTTGTAGAAAATTATCCCAAACAGTTTTTTATACGATTATGAAACTCATTGAAATGAATTCCTTCATTACACTAAATCATTTAAAACAACAGCATAACCCATTCTAGGAACAAATAAATTGTTAGAAGTTAAGTTGTTCTTTTGTAAATGTTAGCTTTACATTACAGGTTCTGAACCATTTTAAAGTTTTTAGACTATGTAGGATAGGTATTATTTAGTCATTTCCAGTTCATGATACAAACCATCTTCAATTATACGTGTCATTACCAAGGTTTGATTTGATAATTTCGAATAAATTGAGCATTGGGTTCATTGTTATAAATAAAAATAAAATATTTGTAATATCCCAATGAGTAGAAAATTGGATTTTCTGACGTTTCGTGACTTAGTGTAAGTCACTTCTTCAGAGAATAAATAACCAAATTAAAATTAATCCAAGTTTAAATAGTACAACGGAACAATGCAAGAATAATATTTGATCAATCGAAAAGCAGGTCTGAACAAGTTGTCATGATGTCATATCATTTCTGTCCAGGTGATTCATAAGTGATATGTATGTAAATTTGTGTGTATGTATATGTGCATTGTTTAAGAATGAAAACTTGTGTGACCTTTATGGTAAGAAAGGATAGATTTTAAATTTATAATATGATAGTGTGAAATCGTTAATACGATCAGACTGAGTGGCTAGGATCGATGGTCCAAGTAGGATGTATAGTAACACCTTCCTTTCTATTGAGAGAAGTAGGATTACCGTTTCGTCCTAGTATGGGACTCAGCAGTGCGCATCCACGATCCCGCATCACGCGGGGCTCGAACCCAGGACCTACTGGCTTCGCGCACGAGCACTTAACCATTAGACCACTGAGCCGGCATCCAACGGTGTTAATGTCTAACTTCAACCAATCCCATACTAGGACGAAACGGCCGTCCAGTGCTTCCAGGTTTTCAATGGTGGTGTAGCTTCAACTGACTCATGATTTAAATCTGTGAAAATTTCTAAAATCTCCACAAACCCCTTCTGAGAAGTAGGATTAAACATTATATGGAACGCCTCAGCTACCCTCCTTTCTTTATAGTTAGGTCAACTTCACGGTAACATTTTGAGCAAATAACAACGTTACTCCGTAATTAAGCTAACTGGCATAAATGACCAGAAAATCACTTTACGTATACTGGAATAACGAGTGAAGTTAAAATGAAAGTAGTATTACATGACAGCAACCGACAGGCTACCTGGTTTTACACAGAAATGATACCTATTGTTTTTTTAACTTCAGTAGTTATTTCGATTAATTTGTTAACTGATTTTAAAATTTTAAGTTATATACTTACCCTGATTTCGACTAAGTGACGAAAATATTAATTGGCCATAATTATCAAACATTATTTGACCATCAATTGAGAAAGTCCTCAGGCTGATTATAACAAAGAATATTATAATGATAGAAAAAAAACAGTATTCAGTAAATGGAATGACGTACTGCTATTGTTTCTATTTTCCTACACCGACTTCTAAGCAGGAATAAACGGTTATTACTTCATAGTTAGTACGATATTGTTTTTAAAACTTATTAAAAGAAGAATAAGATTAAAGAAAGATTGACAAATTTGAAAAACTTATTTTACGGTTTAAGTTTCAACATAATTTTAGTATAGTCTTTTGGAATTGCAAGAACTTTTCAGGATAGTCTATATAGTAGCCGTAATAAAAAATTTCCACGAGAAAAAGTGGATGCTGTTGCATACCCTAGTGTACAATGCAGATCAACTGCTTGGTAGAGCAACATATATAGTGATAATTTTTATCATATGCATTGTGTTGTTAATCTAGTAAGGATAGTTATAACTTAAATTCTCAGAATTTAAATAAGACAACACACGAGACGATGCATGAAAATAATTTGATAGTCTATTGAAGACTACTTGTATGTTAGTTTGTATTTCATAAATTGTAAAACACAACAATGGGCACGAGCATTGTCACGATATTATGAGAAGTTACAAAGTATTCACATAATACATATACATAGCCTTCAGTCGTTCATTTGCATCTTCCTGTGTGTTCTGCAATCCAAACTGTATTCTCTATTGGCCTCCAAGTGTTCTGCCAACGCCGTGCTTTTGATGTACTGAAACTCTTCATTCTGCTCAACATTTTCTACAAAAGTTACCGTGACACCTTATGACTAGTTTGCACATTTATAGTAGAGTACAAGAATGAGGTACTGAAACAGATAAATCTATTTCGACGATGGAGAATGGATACTATTAAAAGTTGGAAGAACAATATTAACTTTCATTTAAGATTCTTCCAAAAGTCAATTATTTCATACCACATAAATCATTGTAGAAAATTAGTCACTCGACATCTGTATCTTAAAAAATCATCAACAAGTTGTATATTTACTTGTGAACTACCCTTTTATAGTTATTTTTCTATTGATTTAATACGAACATATTCACTTCTATTTAAATTTTTTATACTGAATAATACAATTCTGAATGGATTTTAGAGGAATTCTTTGCGGCTTCTTCCTAAAATATATGATCCGATTACTGCGAATATAGAATAAGCTTTCATCTACTTTAAAATCATAATTTGTTCTTTAGTGTCTTTAGAAATATCACATGATTTAAATATCGAATGACTATTGGATTTTTGATACCTCTCCTTTTTGCCTTCCTAAAATACTGTCCGGCTTATAACCGAACTGATTTTCGGAGATTACTTACATAGGTCGTTTGAACTATACTATAACTTCACTTGGCAACCCGATACTTTTTTATGTACGTAAAATTTAGTCATATTGTGTTTTTGTGTGAGGGGCAGTGGTAATAGTCTGTTTTCTTAACCAAAGTAGACGTAATAGGGCTCAAACCTACTGTTCATTAGTTGGAAGTGGTATGTTTTTATACATCTATCTAAATTTGCACAGTTGCTAAAACTTTTAAATTGTCTGTGCATACAGCTATATATTACTTGTAACTAGTAATCAGTTAAAAGGGTTTTGAAACTAGTCATCTCATTTATATTACAAGAAACAAAGCATAATCTTCCCGGTAAATTTTAATTTTGAATAAAGGTTAATAGGTGAGTAAATTGATAAAAAATGGTTTACCGTTGTGCTTCGATTAAATTTTTAGCCAAAACAACTGCACGCATTCGATGGGTATTAATTCGTACACGTACACCTGGATTGATAATCATTTGAGTTTTTTTATCATTATTGGTATAAACTTGTACAGCTAACAAAAGTAAACCCCAAAATTCCATGGCAAAGCTACATGTGAATAAAGTACGAAAATTCATAGAACAAAATACTTTAAATACAAATGTTTGGGTAAAAATTAGTATTTATAGTTATCTTATACTGAGTTGATTCATAGACACTTTTCATCACTGAACGACCACTGGAAAAGTTATTGTTCATTTCCTCAAACTAAGACTGTCTAAAAAACCAAAGTAAATTTATCCCCAGTTTTAAATGTACTCATACAAATTTCATTTTGTTGTGAAAAGTCATGATATATCATCATTTACGTTATCGTAGGTGTAATCAAAGAAAATGTTAAAATTGGACAAATTTTGAAATATTTGTTACAGTACACTCCAAGTTCATGACATTAAAGTATAAGTCCTTAGCAATAATGTGTTACTGTACATAAGTCTGCTTAACAAACGGGAAAAGATGAAATATGAGGAAAATAAATTCCCTTTTTATGACAACAGTGACATTTATTCATAAGCATAAAAAGACAATCTACTTAAGGTAATTAAGATAGGACATCAGGATATTTGAATGAATCTGTTAATTGATCTTCAAAGAGTTTCAATCAAGTTTTTATTGACAATTAATATACCCGATAAAGCACCTCAAATGCAGTAACAAAATGGCTTAAATTATTCTAACTTAATTCGAAAAAATTACTTTTGGAAAATTATTCAGTGATTCTTACCTTGTTCATTCAGTACTATTTATGTTATAATCATGTGAATAAACATGAACGATACATTTCTCTTCTTCTAAAGCATGATTACATGTAAAAAATATCTAATTTACTTATCAACTAAAGATCACTCACCCAACTAATTGTTGAAACACCATCCCATCGAAAGCATGAGATAATTTTACTGTATATAATTTATATTTTGTACCTTGAAAATATTCATTTATCCAACGAGGTAAAGTTTTCTATCAAAGTAAAACAGATAATAACAGTGATGAATAATTTGATAGTATAACAAACTCTATTCATATAAACTAATTTGAAGGATTATCATGAAATTTAACAAAGTTGTAAACAGAAATAGTCACATTGTTATATCTTCTTTGGTGAGCAATAAAAGTGTTGAGTCGGAGAACTTCAATGGAGCCTCCAGAGGTCCAAAAGGAGCCGAAGAGTCCTAGCCAATCAGAGCATACGGAGCATTCTAGAATTCCAACGTGGCGTGCTACTATTGGACAGTAGCATAATATGTCGTTAACGGATTGGCCGAAATATGATGTTGATTTAACAAACGTTAACATCTATAAATACCCATGTTTCCTGTACAAAAACGAACCTTAGAGTAAAGTATTTCTTTCATACTTTGCGTCTTCTCTCTGGTGTTCAGGTCACTGTGTAGTTTTAGCTTGCGGGTTTCTAGAATAGCTTAGGAAACGAATACAGCGTCTAATAAGCAAGACTTAACAAAAATACTATTTATTTCTTATTTTTTTTATTATTATTTGGTTTCAAATAATCTTTTTAATTCTCTTCTTATCACAGCTATATATATGTAATTTTTCAGTAGGAGTTAACCATGGAAATAAGAATACAGTTACTTCGGAAATGAGGTTGATACAGTAATGAATATACCGAGTAAATGGAAACAAGTTGACAAACTACGAAATAATAGATAACGATTAAAAATCTTGCAATATGAAGCGGTTAGACAATAATTTCTTAAAGAATGAACTAAATGAAAGGTTATGTATTGACAAACATGTATACCATAAGTCAATGATAGCAAAAAAAGTAAGACGGAGGATAATAACTTTTGAAAGCCACATGGATTGTGTTAACTTCTATGAAGTAAATAATCGATTTCATAACGAATAGTATTCTCTATGTGTGATAATCATCCATCGGGAATAAGTCTCAAATTCTGGATATGATTTCGTCAGGCATCTGAAATAAAAAATGTTGTCTCTATAATATCTATCACTTAAAGCATGAATAGCAGGTATAAAGCAAACTTTACAAACTACTTTTTGACTTTAACAAGTCAGCATCGATAATAATAAAAAATGTAATACTTTGATTATTAAATCACTCACTAACCCTAACTGCAGCTGTTGGTACTGAATCACGCATTATAAAATTACATAACAGAGTTGATATCCCGTTTGAAACACAATTCAATGCTAGTAAGCCAAGTTTCATCTGTGTTAAACAAACAGCTCGATCAAATTGGTCACTTTCATGTTCTTTCCACCCAGGTATATTTGACATCCATACCTGTATTTTGGAAGAAGATGATTAAAGACTTTGTTGAAGATACATATAAAATTAGAGCCTGATAAAATACAAACATTTAACTGACATGGAGATGTATAGATTAAAAAAGCACATGCTGTGAATAAAAAATAGTAAGTTAGTTGAAATTCTCATCTATTTCACTTATTTTAGTGTTTTATCTGTCTGCAAAACTATGGGTCGATTAGTACGTATTTGTTAAAGTTACCAGGTATCTTAAATATGGTTTGTGTTATGGTTATATGTTTTATGAACTTTTATCTTTGCACATTATTGTGTGCAACTGTTTGTATGCTTGTCTATTTCATCCCATTAACTTAGATTAAATAAACTTGCTAGATAATTTACGTAACGACTGATGAATACATTGATTAATACACCACCCAAAATAAAACACTCATCACACAAAGTAAATCAAACTACAGGAACTGCTCATTCACCTTCGTTTCTAGTTTTGTAATTAGATTAGTGCTTGAAATATAATATATTTCCTATCTCTTCATTTTCGACCACTTCATTTTCACACTTTCATAAATATTCACTCAGCTGACCAAAAGTTCGAACTTCGGAAGTCCAATTAACTTCAGAATTTTAATAGTCAATCGTTTGGTAATAATAATACTAATAATCATAAGCTTAGACATACCTTACTTTCAATTAACATAAGTTCACAAATTATTCGAATATTTGGATACAGATTTTTTATGGAAACAACACACATTAAATTTTTCCAGTCATCTTCAACAGGGGTTTGACTACATTTATCAGAAAGAATAATCACAGCCTCAGCAGTTCTCACCTTGAATGAGTAAGAAGTAAAACAATTAATGTAAAAATTAATATGAAATAAATAAATGTTCACATATTTTTCAACATGAATATTAAAAGTGATTGATAAATATAACGACAATACAATCAATTGAATAGAAATGTGCATAAGTAAAGTAATCAGAAAATATCTGAAAGACAAGTTGATTAATAATTGCACATATACTCATAAAAAAACCTCTATGATTTCTTATGTTTCGTAAATCTAAGAATCTATGCAAGTAGATTTTCAAAAAACTACATACAAAACTTTCTACCAAGAACTATATCCTCAATTATCGACTTTCTCCACCATAAAACGCTTTATAAGCTCAAGAAAATATTGGAACGTATTCTATAAAAATGTATTCTGAAGAAATTAGTTTTAGTTTGTTAAAACGTTAGGTGAACTTCAAGTTTCTTCAAATGTCATAATGTTGTTCAGTGAGACTGAATTCAGGAAAATATCTCACTGAGAAAACTTAGACTGTATGTTAACATTACAGTCTTGTTTCATATCTATAATTAGGGTGGATTTTGCGTATGTCTATAACTTGTGACACTCTAATGGGTAAAATCGAGGAGTTAAAAATGGAAGGTATATTGGGAAATGTTTTATGTAAATACTGATTGGATAGTCTTGTGGTGAGGTTGAAATCTGAAATTGTTTAAATTATTACTTATTTCATCGTTATATTCCGCAAAATACTGCTGAAAAAATACTGAGTTTACGATTGTTTACTGTTCAAGTAGTTATAGTTATGGTGATCCATCCAAATTCCTGGGCATCTTAAAAAAACTTAAGACATGTTAAACCTGAATGAGTAAGTTATGACAGCTTCTATCCTGTCATCTGCACAAAAGCAGTCTTTGAAATATTGGGTTGGAGTGAAAAATTAGTATATTGAATTGTAAGTTTAAAAAAATAAAAATCTAATCACAAAAACAGGAAAACAGCTACATATTAGAATCAGACAATAAATAGGGTGGTTGCAACAACAACTAACTAATAGAAGTTAGATTTTCATCTACCTCGACTTCAAAAGTGATTAAATCCCCAGAACAATTAACAAAAGACCAAGCAATAGAGTACGCAACAGATATTCTGTATCTGAACTGGTTCCATGGTTTTGACATTTTTCAGTTTAATCAAAATCAATAAAATCCCCATTCCAATGTACGAATGAGTCCGTATAAATTTACCAAAACAAACATACTAAAAGCATATAAAGAAATACTCACCTAAACAAGTTAATCATATTTCACAGAGTCTATAACTAAGTTAATCAACTAAATCATTGAAATTGTAAAGGATTTTATAGACATAAGACATCATAGTCAGTGGTCTAAACAGCACATATATCCTCTGGTATCCTGAAGCTATTGCTGAAAAGGAGGAGATCATAAAGCTTTCAGTTGCTACTCAAATAGTTCGGCCGTAACTTCACCGACTATGATAGTAGATGACACTGATTCAGACCAAATGAGTGAACTAATCCCTTCAAGGTTTCAGATACACCAACTAGCGTGGCGCAAGGTTTTCTACTAGTTGCGTTCAACTTCATAATATTCAAACAGTGGATTCGATGTCAAAATCACTTGGATATTGCAACCTCACAGAGTTTGACTCACACCAAGAGGTATACGAACATGACATTGTTTACTACTCTGTGGTCACTCAGTGAGACTATGCTTTCTGTTATCCCCGTTAATTGATATGATTTTCAGAAAACTATTTATTAAATAAGATATCCAGTTGCGACAGGTTGGTATATGTTATAGACTTTATTTAGGCCGGTCTGATACTCAGTTATGTGCTAGTAGATTTTATCATTCCACACAAATAACGTCCTTTATATGTACTGAGATACATATGGAATAGACTATAGCTTGGTATTTAAAACTTATCGGTTGTGAATAGCTTATGAAGGCACAGCAAAATAAAATCTAGTATTGTCATTTTATCTAATTTATTATTTCTAATATATGTTACTCAAATTTTGAATTCATCTGGGTTTAAAACTAACATTTCTGACGAGACCTTCAGGCTGCATTTGAAGCCGCAGAAAGTCAGCAGATTTAGTAATCTTATGATATAGCTAGATCACAAACCATTTTTATGAAACATCATGTGTATAATTTCTTGTTCATTTAGTCTAAATATATTGACTTCATATTGTAATATTAGTGTATGGAGGCTCTGAGGTTTACTAATACTGTTGAGTTATAAGCTTGATGGAAAGAATATCCTAACGTCCACTATTCCACAGCAGTCTTTCTTCCGAAGCTACTATTTGAGCTATCTAAGTCACATAAGAATTCGTTAAAAATTAATAACCATACTAGAAGAAATGATCTTCAAACCACAGTGCTGGTCATTTTGTCCAAACATTATCAGTAAGTTACTCATTAAGTATCAAAGTACAGTGTTTTAGGCACTGGATTTGCTGGAAAATATGTATGGCAGTTAGACCACAGGAGGAAAGTTCGTTGATTCTATTTCACTATTCATCATTCATATCCAATAAGAAATTAAATATTAGGAAGGCTTAAAGGCGAGTCGTGTTCATATCCCTGACAAATAAAAGTGTTTAGCTAATACGGAGTGCTCAATAAATTCCTACTTACAGCATAAACTTCCTTTCCCTCAAATATATTAGTGTTCTTTTTAGTTTTCTGGTATTTATTAGTAGTACCAATAACGTAAAATTCCATCCATTCTTTATTGATATATTTTTTTTTATCAGAAATGGGACTCAGAATCTGAATATATTGACATGTAACTTTCTGGTTTGTTTGGGATGGACAAGTCATATTTTTGGCACTCATTATTGTGGTGGATAATACTAACGTTCTAAGCCCTGAATGTTTGATTCAGTCTCAGAGAGAACACTTACACCCGTGTAAAACCAGTTGTTTAGTCGAAAACTAATTACATTCTTCATCCTGAATAACACTTCAATCTTTTAACGGAATACTACATTCTGAATAGGAATCTGATGTACAAAATGTTTTCTTTCTCTAAGAGGCTGTATTTTCCTAAGTTTAAAAAACAATCAGCTTAAAAAACAGATATACTAACTGCATTTCAATAACTGACTTACTTTAGCTCTTTCCAAATCTTCTGGTAATGTCACAGATCCTTTCAAAAATTTCATTGTAGTGCTTTCTCTCTGAAGTAACGCCGTTAGACTAATATCAGGATCGATCCTACAAGAATTACAAAATAACATTTCTAACTCATAAATTACACAGACTTCAATGTTTTTTTAAGATAGTAATCAACATTTTTTCCTTGAATATTTAAAATTGTGCATCCATATTTACCAGTCTGTTTTTCATACGGTTCATCCGTTTCTTGTGTATTAGATATAGTGTCAAATGGCTTATCTGATAACTTAACACTGGTCATCATAACGTTTATTTATGTTATTTAAATATTTATATCAATGTACCTTATCTGAACGCTTTTCAGGATCAGAGCACAAAACAAGATAGTTACTTATTCATTATTTAAAACAATGATCATATATATCTTTCAGTGTGGTTCTTTGTCAGCCAGTTTTTTTATTTTATTTGTATTTTTTATACTTTTTCTACAACCCTATATTATAGACACAGAGTCTTAATTAAAAGCAGTAAGTGGAACATATTGGATGTCTTGGTAAAATCTAACTTCGTAAAAGTATTCCTTGATGCCATTTTTGAAAGTTCTACAGCTGTAGTTTTATTTACTTAACACAAATACTGGTCTTTAGTAATTCAAACTGGTTTGTATCAATGGTTATGAAATAGTAGCTATTTTTCAGAAGTATTCATCGGGCTCTGTTCAGCCCATCGTTGATTATGTGCACAGTACTTTTTCGTCTGACAATTGAAGTTACATAGTGGATGAAAAAGCTATACCTATTTAATCCCACTATCACTTCCATATAAGCTCTCTATAGTTTTATTTTTTCCAATCAAAGTAAAATTCTGGTTTCTCCTCTGATTCTAGTGTGAATGGGATCAAATGATGTTATCAGCTGAATTCTTGAAGGCTATCAACAGGTTTACTGTTTTCACACATAATGCTGTTGTCTATAAATCTTTATATAAATAGAGGTTATTGACTGTTAACCAAAGAATAGTATAGATTAGGTCAACTTCTGTTGCTATTGATTTGACACCCAATACTAACATAGAGGTTAGTCATTATCACCCATTTGTTTGTTTTTCACAACATTTAAATACATCATGTAAACAACTAAGTATAACACTTTCACCTTTCTGCTTTTTGTGTGTGCTTTAAATGAATACGTAATCAATGTTCGATAACCGTATTTTCAATCTTTTCATGATGATCAAACACTTAAATATTTTATCATAAAACATTCTATGTGTTAAATAACTAAAAACACGGTTGTTGAAACCTCGGAAATGTCATTGTGGGAAAAAAACGTCCCATTATCAAAACAACATGTAAGTTGAAAATTAAGTTTTACAAAATAAGATGAAAATTTCCTACCGATTTTATGAAGTTTATATTACAAAGTTTTTTGTTGACCAAACAACCGATACTAAGAGATAAATCAGAAGGGGTTTGTGGAAATTTTAGAAATTTTCACAGATTTAAATCATGAGTCAGTTGAAGCTAGACCACCATTGAAAACCTGGAAGCACTGGACGGCCGTTTCGTCCTAGTATGGGACTCCTCAGCATCTTTATTATTGTCACCGAACTAATTGTTGACAATTATAACTTAAGGTATTTAAGTTGTTTGATAAGTGAATGCGCCTCATAGTCCAAATATACGATTTGATTTTCATGCTACAATCAATATTAGTATAAGTTCCACTGCATTACTAAGATATACAGAGACTAAATTATCACAGCTTAATTTGAAAATCTGAAGTTGATGATATATTATTATACACAACTGTATACTATCATGAAATCCCTTAATATTAGTCTATAGTAACTTGTAGCAAAAAAGATGTGTAGAGTACTTTGAGGAACTCTTGAATAGGCCGGCTCCAATGAATCCACTGGACATCGAAGCAGCACACAAAGATCTTCTTATAGATGTTAATCCACCAACGACGGAAGAAATCAGAATGGTCATCAGATAAATTAAGAGCGGGAAAGCAGCAGGACTCGACAACATACCAACTGAAGCACTGAAGTCAGATATCGAAGTAACTACAAACATGGTTCACCTTCTATTCAAAAAGATATGGGAATAGGAACAAGTGCCGATGGATTGGAAAGAAGGGCACCTCATCAAGATTCCAAAGAAAGGAGATCTGAGAAAATGTGAAAACTACAGAAGCATTACACTACTGTCAATACAAGGGGAAGTCTTTAACAGAGTGTTGCTTAACAGGATGAAAGACGCAGTAGACGCCCAACTTCGACATCAACAGGCTGGATTCCATAAGGATCGATCGTACACAGATCGAATTGCGACACTACGGATCATCGTCGAACAATCAGTTGAGTAGAACTCTTCACTATAAATCAACTTCGTTGATTATGAAAAGACGTTTGACAGTGTAGATAGGAGAACATTATGGAAACTTCTTCGACACTATGGTGTACGTGAGAAGATTGTCAACTTTATCCGGAACTCATACGACGGACTGCAGTGCAATGTCGTGTATAGAGAACAAACCAGCTTCCAGATGAAGAGGAAATTAGGAAAAGACAACGGAAATCGATAGGACATACATCACGCAAATCATCAAACTGCATCACGAAGCAAGCCCTTACTTGGGATCTTGAAGGGAAGCGAGAAAGAGGAAGACCAAAGAACACATCACGTCTGTAAATCGAATCAGATATGAAAAGGATGAATAACAGCTGGAAAGAGCTGGAAAGGATTTTCTAGTACAATGTTGGATGGCGAGTGCTGGTGGGTGGCCTATTCTCTCCTACGAGGAGTAACAGGCGTAAGTACGTAAGCAAAAAAGATGTTCGGAGGCAAAGGATTTTATTTATTCTTTAATAGCTCTGTACTTAATTCTTTTCATTTTAAATAATAACATTCAAATTAATCTGTTGATTTCTTCCCGTCTAAATTTTATTTCACGTCGTTAACCGGTTATCGCTGCAAACGGATAAAGAGTATTTTAAATGAGGAACTAGGTTGTCGATAAATTTAATTCAAAAACTCATTATATTCATGGTTCACAATCACAAATCAGGTAGAAAATACAACTTTAATTTTCTTAAATGTTGGTTATTGTTGTCTTAGGTAAGGTTTTCATTGAATCAACATTCCAGTCAACCATAATTGAAAGTATTCTGGAGACTTTAATTTAAAAGAGCGAACCAGGAAGTCAATGAACAACATTTTCACAATTTAACTTACTCTGACAGGATGACAATCATCATGTTTTCATCATAATGGCCTTGATCGGCATTCACATATTCATCAAAAAATATTGAAAGTGTATGGTAGTTTATTGATCCACATACAACTATGTGCCTGAGAAGTGAAAAGTACGTAGAAGTCAATATCACAGTGCATCAGTTCAATATCTAAAGTTTTTATCAAGTTCGAAATTCACAAACTATTCGATAAAAGTGTCATTTTATTTCTGACTGAAGTATCGATTTTTCAAAAACTATCTATCTGTATATATGGTTATTACCTCTGTTACTCAACTTTGTATAGATATTCACAAAATGACCAACACTTTAGTTTTACCTAAGTAGAACTCTTTAATGGTACTTTTATTTGTTAGGAAATATATTATTCATGCAGTCCTATATAAGTGTTTAATTCATTTTCATTTGTAAATATATAGGTAATTAGACACGGTGGTTATAACTGTGTGATTCGGCTGTCCTATAATTCCAAAGTTTATACGCTAAAAAAATAAGTGACGTAACTATATATCATAATTGGGAAAGAAACAATTATCTCTTTAAATAAATAAACAAACAAGAATTAGAACCAGCAATAATATCGGTATCTAACTAATAGCATTAACGTTCATAGACCTCATAATGTTCAGGTAGTGTTTCTTCATGATAGCTGAGACTAATCATGAAAACTGAAATATTGAGTGTCATACCGTATAGTCATTTATTCGATAACAGTTTAAGAACATTAGAAAACTTGTTACCTCAGACACTACTTGTTTTCTTTATTTGAATCCTTGTTCAATTAAGGGACTACGAAGATAAGTGACTAACAATCAATCTTGAAAATAGCTTTAAAATTGAAAGTATGCAGGTCAACGGATTGAGACTTTATTTTTAAAAAATATTTAACATATATTAAAAGTATAAGTCAACGTTTAGCGAATAAAGCACCACCATTTATTTAGTTAGCAGAGTGGAAACTACACAATGAAAATACAGCTAACCAGTGGTTGCCAATGAAGAAATATATAAGCTTAAAAAATAATGTTTGAGTAGTAATGTCTTAACTGTACACATAACTACCCATTTAGTTACTTGTATATACAATGAAATCAATGCTATGTGAACAAACTTTCATTGCCTAACAATGTGATATTTGTATCAGAGTTTGCGTATCAGACAAAATCATTCTCTATGTAAGATGGTTTGCGGATATTTGTATAGTCTGATAATAGTTTTCAAAACGAGGTATCTTAAACCGGAGAATCATTGGAAACCAGAAGATATGTAGAAAATCAAATCATCCATCTATATAACCATGTGTTCACCAGTGACTCAGATATAAATAACTGAATTTTCAACAGAACAGTGTGACATATAGACGTAACCAACGGGAGACTGGCTGAACGAGAGAATTTAGATTTTTGACTTCTTATCGATTGGTCTGAAAGTATCACAATTATTGTTAAACTTCTAAGTCCTGGATATAATCATATTTGTGACCCTGACTGTGCATCGTTAAGCAACTACAAACTAGTATGAAACATCTATCAAATATTCCCTGGTTTTCACTGATTCTCCAAATTATGTCATATTGTTATAAAAATTGTGTTTGAAAATATTTGAGTCTGGCCACTGAACCTAGAGGCTGATATTAATCAATTAAATAACCACCTGACTAAAATCTAGAGTCAGATTAGATTTAATAACTATCTGATGAAGGTTTTCTTCTAATTTATAACCTTCACCTTGGCTACTATCAAAAATATTTAATTTTAAATTCATGTAAACGTGTTTATGTACTAACTTGGACACAGTTTAATACTAACGGTGTTACTATACATTGCGAGTTGTCTATCACGTACCCAATAGAAAACCCACTGAAACAACAAGATTAGAATGAAATGATAATCATGATGCTTAGATGAAAATAAGTCTAATTGGTAGAACAATTATTCATCACTCAATCAATTATAAGCTAATTAAATTAATTATGTGGTAGGTACTAAATTAATAACAAAAATAACAAGGTTATTTCAACAAAGCTTCTTTAGTCTGATGTACCATGAGTAAATGTTAGGTCAAATAGGTCAACATGTCACAATTTAATTATATTTCATTAATTAATCACTTGCTTTCACTTGTTTTTAATATAAATCAACACTGAAACATGAACATAGGTTCTTTTTCGAGTTTAGATCGATAAGTACTTAATGCTAGAATAGATACTAGTGTATCTACCGGAGAAAAACGTGCTGTAATAAAATATCGTACACAACGCTGTCACTTAATAGTTGAATTCATTAGTCGATTTAAGCTGGACCTCTATGAAAAACCTGGGAACGCTGGACGGCCGTTTCGTCTCAGTGTGAGACTCCACAGTAGCGCCCATCCATTATCCTGCTCTCAGGACTCGAACCTAGGGCCTTTAGTCTCGCGTAAACGCCTAACATCCAAACCACTGAGCCAAGATTCAGCTGTGCTAATGTCTAACCTGTCACTTAATTGTTACATAACTTTCAACCAAAAATGTTGAGTAATCGTGAAGAGAATGGATGCATAGAATTTCATGTACTTTTTCTCTTCATTCATAAATTTGTCTAAAGCAAGAACAAGAAACGTGGTGGAATAAAACCAATTCATTTATTTTGTGGTTTCCATTCTATTGTTCGCTATCTATAGGCAAAAATAATAATTTATACAAATATTCGTCAAGAATAGAACGAATAGTTTGACAGAAATTGGGCGCCAAGTATAGAAAAGTCATTGTATGTGAAAATTATAATTAAAATAATCTCAGCGATTGAAATTTAAATGATCCCAACGTTTCGTCTAACTAACCTGTCTGGATTTCTTTTGATTATTACCCTGAAGAAGTCCAGACAAGTTAGCTGGACGAAACGTTGGGATCATTTAAATTTCAATCGCTGAGATTATTTCAAATATACTGATCACATATAATGAATAATAATAATAATTTTATCAGCCAGTTAGCTACTCACATCACAGTTTCAAAAAAGGCTCCGTAAAGTTCTCCTATCAACGCTGTCAGACGCTTTCTCGTAGTCACGGAAAGTGATGTATGGTGACGAATTCCATTCAATTAATTGTTTAGCATTGATCCGTAGTTTCGCTATTCGGTCTATGCACGATTGATCCTTATAGAATCTGGCCTGTTAATCTTGAAACTTGCCCTATGTAACCTGCGCATTACAATTTTGTTGGGTACATCTTTAAATGGTAAATGTATTAACGGAAACTGTTTATTTACCGGCTTGACTGCTTTTTTTATTTTCGTGATTGTGAAAAATTTATTTGTCTTTAAAATTGTATTTATAACTGTAGAACCTGACAGGAACTTATCGGAGACAATATTCCTTGTTTAATTCACATAATCGTTCAATTAAAGTTCTCATCAATTACCGATTTTTTTTATTAGATCAATCAAATTCACCCCATAAACACTTAGTACTCTAATACAGTTTCATAAATGTACTCACCTTGGATTGTGTTCCATATAAATCGCTTTGCTATATTGGTTATGTTGTTTAAATAATTCACTAAGTTCTGACATATGTGTTGTTACTGATACCTATTTTGTAAATGAAATTCAACTTTAGTATCAGTTAAAATCAAAACCTTAGATTTAATCTTTTTACGAAAATGCAAAATAAAATTAATTGCGTCTTGGAGAGGGTCAACTTAACTGGGCTTTGAGGAATGACATATAATTATTACAATCAGTGTGTTATACGGTAATTGTTCCGTAAAAATCAGTTCCATTTTAATGTGTTAGTACAGTAGAGGATATCAACCCATTGACTTGTGTCAAACAGATATCTTTCTTAAAGTTTATTTCTTAGTTCATTTATCAGAATGTACTTTAATCAGTAAGAATATTATGGTTTAATTTTAGATAAATAATTTTGATAAATGAACTTGCTACTCTCTAAGCTTAGGCTATGGGAGGTAATGATTTCAATGGTATTTTGGTTAGCATTTTCAAGTTAGGTATGTTCACGAATATATACTGATGAATCAACTTTATTCTATAAATGGTTTTTTTATAAGTATATATAGCAATAATTAATTATATAGGCGTAAACTTACAAGTGTTCCAATAATAACGAATATAATGAAAATGCGACCTAAGTAACTTGTACATACAATATCGCCATAACCAACCGTTGCCAATGTTACAAGGATCATGTATAGGCAGTCCAAATATTCAAGTTTTTGATTGTTACCTTCTGTGGTCCAAAAATTACCTATGTGTTCAAGCTACAAAATATACAGAGGGAATAATGTGATAATCGAAATACTAAATGACTGAGATTCTCAATACCTGGTAGCAAGAAGTATTCAGGAATGAAACTAATTAGTAATAATTTAATTATAAATAGATAAGAGTCTGAACGACATATGCCTGTTTATAAATGGAACAGGTCCTAATACCACGTGGGAAGATATTTATTGCCTGTAGAAACAAAATGGTATCCTTTATAATTATAACTATGATCATCAAGATGTAGAACGGCTGTTTTCATTTCAAATCGTTTAGAGATTTTGTAGACAAACCTATAGAGTTTCAAAGATGTCACTACTGGGACCTGTTCTGACTGTCTTATGACCAATCTGCAAAATACATTATATATGAGATGTATGGATGACAACTTTATAATCTGGAATAAAAATAGAGAATTCATTATCATATTGGTTGTGTTCAGTAGTTATCACCAATCTATCGAGCTCACACTAGAATAAGGGGCAAACTCGGAATTAAATCTTCTTAGTGTTCTAATGAAAAACAAGCCAGAAGAGCCAATGAAGAAATACAAATGTATATAGTAAATCAACTTGAAATGAATTATATACGAGTTTTCATATTTGAGTTCTGTAGAGCAGGACAAAGAGCATGGTTCACTCTTTATACTTGAGGGCCAGAAGAAAATTTGTCGATGAAGACAAGTTATATAAACTATCCAAATACCCATCAAAAATGACTTCCCTGTCAAATTTACAGACAGTAAACTGAAGACAAATCACAACGTAAAAAGTCCTATACAAAGCCGAAGAAGACCTTCTCTATGAGTATCGACTGTAAAAGGGATACTGCATCAGAAATCTTGAAAGCTGAACCTCAAGCACTCCGAAAAACTTTCTGTTTCGAAAAGCTTCGTATTATTTTTTTTCGGTTAGTCTATCATTTGTGAATGATTCAAATGTAAATTTCTTTAAGTTAAATAAATATACATCTATGAGGATTGCATCTCTTGTACATCAAAAAAATTTTCTACAAGCATCTCATATGGTTAGCAGACTAGATTTTTTAAAGGGTGCAAAAGAATCAACATGTATATTTAGCAACATCTCACGCATTCTAGTTGCGCCACTCCGATAAAATGGTCTTTCTAAATCACCTACACATTCAAACGGGTGGGTTCAAAGGGAGCATGTAATAAAAACATACACTCCAGAAGCTTTAGCAATTAGAAATTCAAGATTAAACACTATTTACAAAAACTTCATGTTTCATTTATCATTTTACCATGGTCTTAACACTCTCCTGGCATTTTTCTTATTCAGTATCCAAAATTATCATTCAGATGTTATTACTCACTTTCAATTCAATTTCCTTGTTTTCCAATTGAACAGTGGGTTTCTTTCTCTATATATCTTAGGTACTTAAAAACATATTGATGTACTGTATACAGTTTTTTTCCAAAACATTCTAACGTATCTTCCCTTTTCATTAACTTTTATTATTGTCAAATTGTGAAATAAAATAGCCCATAAAACTATGACTATCATTATTAATATAACTTACAACAAATGCAATACCAGCTATAACAGTCCATGCAGCCAAGAGTTTAAATATTAAATCTACTATACGTATAGAACGTTCATGATTTATAATTCTTAATAATACTAATGATTCAGGAATTTTCGTCAGTCTAGCGAAATACAAAAATCCAAGCACTAATAAGAAAAAAAAAGGGGGGGGAGAAGAGAAAATAATTAAAATAATTAATGAATAACAATAATTCATTCGGTGTTGTTTTACTTATATCTTCCCATTGTTATTTAGGACTGCAATTGATCAGTCGCTTGTCGGTATATGTGCATCCTGTGCGGATTATTTCGATATAACCTTGAGTCATAAGCTTTCTAAGCAAAGATAGATAGTGGATTCCACTGTTAGCCACTGTCCATCTTTGCTTAGATAACAATAATGTTTATTATCTTTTATATATTACTGACTATAGTAGAGTGAATTAGTGTTTCTGATACATTCATGCTATCAGTAATTACGAGTAAACCAACAAATATGTTGATTATTAACAATGAAACTCTTCAGGCTTTTTTCTAACTTTTTAATATTCATCAAATGAACATGTCAGCACTTAAAACGATGTTGGTTATGGCGTAACTATCAAACATAGATAAAATGGGAATACACATAGCCTAATAAGTATCTCTGTTGGAATAGTAGTCCAATGAATAACCCTTTAATATTTATGTCAATGGAAATGTAACCCCAAATAAAGTTGGAACTCCAGTACAACTACAGAAGATCTGATATGTCAGAAATATCCCAAGAATATATTCTAGTAAATACCGAAACTGTTAAACATTTTGTTAGAATCTTTAAAATTACTTAAGGTAACTTACTGAAATGATAACGTCCTGTAATAAATGTTGAAAAAGTTGAGAGTATAGTGCAATGATCAATCAGAGAGTACAGTGACATCCATGTTGTGAATAAATCATTAGATGCGATAGCCTATACATGTATGTTTAGAAATTTTCCGTGAAATACGAAAACTCATTAAAAAAAAGAATATTATATGCAAATTACTCGTAAAATAAACATGATGAGAAAGATACAATTACAGCTCATTTCTACATAGAATCTCCATTGTTCTGTGAAAGCGATACAG